TGCTGCGTGTACGCGTGCTGCGTGTACACGTTCTGCGTGTACGTGTGATGCGTGTACACATGCTGCCTGTACACGTGCTGCGTGTACACGTGCTGCGGCTCGTTCACATGTACACTAACCCTGCTATTATCGTCACTAATATTTGCATCACCAGACTTATTATAGTAGTAAGCACCAGAAGAAAAAATACTGAGTCAAGCTGCTAACCATAAACCCAGTTCTTAATTTTATGGTCCAGTTGCCCATGTATATATTTCAGCTGTTTAACTAACAACGGAGCATACTTTTTCCAAGTATCCGAACCCTGGACTACACGAGGCTGCTCTTGGTTGAAATAATACTATTAATAGTTTTAATATTAAAAATTAAATAATAGTAATATTGAATAATGTTATATGTACAATAATGTTAAATGGTTAAATTAATAATAATAGTATTAATTCAACCATGAGGATGCTCACTTGGACCCAAGTGCCATTCTGTGCCCAGCTCTGCCACGCAGCGGTCCATGCAGGCACGTCGTTCCTGGGGGACTCGAGAATAGAATAGAAGTGTCGGCACTGAAGAAATAGGCCCATGGCCTGTTGCCGATTCTTGAATTTTTCGTGACTTGATTCACAGGGGATCCGGCCTTTGGAACCCGATCTTTCCATAACTGACGATTGATTGAGATAGCTGCTGGACTTATTGCCTGGTCCGTAAGTTGCTAGGCATTTTAAGACTGAACATATGCTCCTGCATAACTTCGTCTAGTCTGTTATTGAAGGGGTTCATACTAGGAGCGTCAACGATGCTATCAGGGAGGCTGTTCCACATGTCGGTGACTCGAAGCGAAAAGAAATATTGTCGCATTGATGCGTTACAACGCAGTTTTTTTAGTTTATAGCCGTGGCCCCTGGTGTTGGTTCTTGTTTCAAATTCTAGTAATACTTCTGTGACCTTGTATAAGCCATGAGTATACTGGTATGCTTCAATGAGTTCCCCCTTCGTAATCTCTCCTGCCGAACCAGCCTGTCAAGATCACCTTGCAACTGTACTTTTTGCGACGTATTCTTCACTGTATTATAAATTGTTGTGTCGTCGGTGTACATCGTGCAAACGCTAGACATAGCTTCGGACATATCGTTTATAAACGCAACGAATAAAATAGGCCCGAGAACGCTTCCTTGTGGCACTCCGCTTCGCACTGAAGCCCAGTCTGATACGGACCCATTAATACTGACCCGTTCTCGCCTCCCTGCTAGAAAATCTCTGATCTATTTGAGTACATTACTCTAAATTCCTAAAGACTTCAATTTACGCAACAGCCGCTCATGTGGGAGACTGTTAAATGCCTTGGCAAAATCGAGGTACACTGCATCTACTGGCTCCCTTTCGTCCAGCAGGCGGGTCCATTCGTTCAGAGTAGGCAAGAGATTAGTGGTGCAGGATCTCCCGGCAATAAAGCCATGTTGTCTGTCTGATAGGAGATTATTAGTAGTCAAATGATCTATCAATCGATCCCTCACAACAGATTCCATTACCTTGCAAACGACACTTGTCAAACTGACGGGGCGAAAGTTGCCAGGGCAGCATTTGTCACCTTTTTTGAATAACGGTGTCACTTGAGCTTCTTTCCAGTCAGCCGGCAAGATCCCTTCGTTCAAAGTTTTTCGAAAAAATGACGCCAAAGGGCTGGCTAGGGCAGTTGCTAACTCTTTGAGTAATCTGGGGTGGAAGCCGTCCGGTCCACATGCATGACTTGTTTGGATTTGCAGCGATAAGGCGCTTGAGAACCTCTTCTTCTTGTACCTCAAAACTTGTTAATTTGGAGCCGACTGGGCGCTCCTCAAAAGCTGGAATACTGTTCAAGTCCTCTTCATTGAATACGCTACTGAAAAAATGATTAAGTACGTTAGCCTTGCCCTCATCAGAGGATATCTTTCGTTGATCTACTGTCAAATCCGAAATACCGTCCTTCATCTTGCACTTCGAGCTAGCGTACAAAAAGAAGGCTTTCGGATTCTTTTTTGCATTTTTAGCAATACTTTTTTCGAGTGTTTTTACTGCGGTGCGACAGCTTTCTTTAGCTTGATTTCGAGATCTTGCGTATAGGTTCTAGTCAACATCGTCAGAACTGTAATCACTGGGCCACCCTGCCATGATAACAAATATTACCGGGAAGATTTTTCTACTGACCACACGGAGAAGTTTGACGAGTTAGAACAATGGCCTCTAGACTTACGCACCCTCCAACGATTCATAAACTGTAGCATCGGGCAGTGACTATAATGATCCTCAGTGATGTTTCTCAAACTGTCGGACTTATGGCTCTACTACATATGGTAGTACGCAAGAATTTTCCAGACAGAACGCGAGCATTTCCATGGTTTTAAAAATTTTTTAGTCGATGAGGTTTTCACTGCTGAGAAGTGTTTGCTGCCTACGGTCCATCTTTGAATTCAATCGCAGAATTGCGTGTATTTAGGAGCATAATACGGGATTTCCACGTGTACCCGATCGCAAAAAGTTGGAAACCACTTGTCACCCAAATCGTCTCCAACACAATATGAAAAGAAAGAATTACGTGGCTTTTTGATTGAAAATAATTTTTTAGCGATGTTTCATTTGAATCTAAAACGTTCAATCTTATGTCACTGCAGCGCAGAGGTTAGCTCCACTGTATGCGCAGTGATGACGGCGCCGATACGAGAGGAACTAACCGTGGGTTCGAGCCTTGCAAAGCTCAGCTATAATTTCTCGGTGTCGCTGATGGGTGGAGCTTGGTCGCCGTCAAAGGTGGTGCTTTCAGCATGGCCTTGGTTTGACGTCCCTAAACAAACTCTGTGTACTTGTTACCCGGGGGGGGGGTATTGAAGTCTGATATATTTCCCGTAAAGCTGAATCTCATGCATCGCAGTTCTTCTACAACATAGAAATATCAATTCAGAATCAACGGAGTTTAATATATTTTACCAATTGGTTTTCTTCATCAATAATTCCAACATTACATGCACATAAAAATCAACAATTCATAAAAATTTTCACCTCATGGACCCGAAAAATATTTTTTAGTATAAACTATTATGATGATATGTATTGTGTAGCGTCCGACTGTATGGCGTGTATGGCCCGCTTATCATCTTGAGTATACATATATAGGCTCCCGGTTCACTTCAGCTCTTGAACACGTTGTTTTAAATCATGTCTTGTGCTGCCCATGTCATAAACCGTGTCATTCTGTAAGACTTGAACGTATTTAGTAATGCAAGAAATTGTTGTCACTGCAATGACCAGATCTTAATCAACAAATTGTATTTGCATGAAATGCCTAATGTTCGTATGAATCCAGATAATATCAATCATTTTATTATTCAGGAAATAAATCGAAAAGAGAACAACAAATATCGTAAGGTAAAGAAATTGAGAATGAGGCCGCCTAAAGATTTAAACAAAAATACTTATAGACTGTAAAAAAAATCTGTAATACATTTAGATGTTCTGTGTCAGAGACTCGAATGATTGGGCTGCTGAGCAGTATAATTTTAATCAGAATGTATTTTGCCTTCGAACCGTTAGCTCCTGATGAGAATTGTTCATATTTCTTTCAATTCTTCCCTCCCTCAATTCAATTTCGATTTCCAGCCCTGCGATGTCGTCATATTTACCTCCTTCAATTGATTATATTTATCGCAAGTGTCATGGTATTTTTTCCTTAATGAGTTATTATAACTTAAAATACAGTTAAACTTCGCTACAATATGAGTGACATGAACTTTACCGACGCTCACAACTGTAGTGACATGAACGTTACCGACGCTCACAACTGTAGTGACATGAACGTTACCGACGCTCACAACTGTAGTGACATGTTCACGAGCTAAGCATCACCGTTAGGCTCTAATGATTATGTGTACCAAGTTTCATCAAGCTACGTTCAGTATTTTGCGAGATATTCCACGCTCACTGAATTTGGAATCACGGCCGCGAGACCGGCCGTGACAACTGTAGTGACATGAACGTTACCGACACTCACAACTGTAGTGACATGATCGTTACCGACGCTCACAACTGTAGTGACATGATCGTTACCGACACTCACAACTGTAGTGTCATGAACGTTACTGACGTTCACAACTGTAGTGACATGAACGTTACTGACACTCACAACTGTTGTGACATGAATGTTACTGACGCTCACAACTAGTGAAATCGACGGGAATGGTGCGCCAGTTTCTGGTCTGGGCGAGGACTCCGGGCGGTTAATAAGCAAAGCAGAATTGTAGCAGCGAATTGTGAGTTCGAGGCCACAACAAGCTGTGAATGTTGTGAATGTGAATCGGCGACAGGCCCACGGCCTAATAAACGCTGAAACCGCTGTTTATGCTATGTTCAAAAAACACGATAGGGTACGGTTAACGCATGAAATCGGAATCGATGAATTCTCATCACTTGCAATTTGCTCAGCAAGGGACTCAATTACGCAAATATATTCCAGTTGGGTTATAAACGCGCGTTTGTATTGGTTTTATGAGATTTCTATGTCAAGTGAGCATTATGCCGTGGCGATTTTTTAATGATTTCTTACAAATGGGAAATGAAATTCATGAAAGAGAGAGAGTAATTTTTGTGCTCGAAGAAGGGACTTTATTTGGGGACTCAAAAGGTTGGTATAATTTCCTCAAGTGAGCGTTTAATCTTGGGGGCATTCAAAGTAGGTGGTCAGTCTCTACTTTTTTTTAAGAAATACGTGGGAGGATTTTTACTATCAAGAACGTATGTTCACGTTAGCAGCATTTAACAATAAGAATATTTTTTATATACTCATATCATTCACATGCTATCATCACTTCATCTATAATTCAATATTTTGTATTTAAATATAATAAAGATTGGTTTATGAAAAAGGTTGACTCTATAGGGATATTTTAATCATATTGTTATGAAAATTGTTCAAAATTTAGGCAACAACAACCAATTGCGTTGATTGTGTCGCCATCTAGCGGCCCCATTTAGCAGAAACTTTAGTGTCTCTCGTGTGCAAAATCTGTGGTGTGTGCATCGATACTGGAAGTTATTAATACGGTTTTGGTGTTTGATTTAAAACAGAAACTGGTGTCAAACGATACTGCAATTCATTATCATGACGACTCGTGAAGATAGTGAGGTTGATCAATCCAATGAAAACCCTGTTGACACTCAGGGTAAGAACGCACGCATTGCCGCTCGTGAAGTTTGTGTTGAAGAGAGTGCTTCTGACGGTATTGCGTTGAAGTGTAAACATTGTGCATTGTGTAACGATGCCTCTCATAACGGCAACCAACCCAATGGAGTTTCTTCTTCTGGCTTGGAGTCTAAAAGCAAATGTGGGCATTGTTGTTCTGTTGAAGCAATTCCTGCATTACCTTGTTCTACCGATTCGTCTCATGATTTAAACCACTCGCTGGAAATTCATAAGGCAAATGGAGAAAAAGCAATGCAAAATGGATCAGGCTACTTGGTTCAAGACGAAGAGCTATCAGATGTGCACAATGGAATTGGAGTAGACCATTCACCCAGTCCTGTATACCTGACTAGCCCTTGCTCAGAAAATGTAAAACCCATAGTAGCCGATGTTTCAAGTGCATCATTTTTCTCATGTCCTGATGATCGTCTGGCTTCTCCTGGCTCGGATTCCATGGTCACTGCATGTGATGGAACTTCTTCAAGATCATGTTCTTCTCTGAGCTGCCCATCTTCAGGATCGTCAGCATCTTCTCTTATCTGCGCACTCTCACCAGACAGGGATTCTGTTGCTCCTACCTGTAGTTCACCTTCTGCAAACTCATTTGTGGAAGATCAACTCCTGGAATCTCTGGCTAATCAAATGAGTCTGACTGGAAATGGAATGGAAAATTCTTTGTTGAATTCAACCTTAGTTTCCCAACATGAAACTCCTGAAGCATTATGCCTGGACTCCCAACCAAACATCTCAATGCCTGCTTCATCTGATGTTTCTTCCTACTCACTTGATGACTCAATGGTTCAAGACATGAATGATCTTTCTTTGGCAGCATCCACTGTCCAACTTCAATCTGAATGCACTCAAGATTGTTCTGCATTTGACAGGTTAGTTTTACCATTCATTTAATTCTCTTATTTTTACTTCACTACTTTGATTTTGGATGTGACAACAATTATTAAAAAACATTAAATCATATTTTTTTCATGTTTAGTTGTTTGTCAATAACTTGAAACAAATTGCACCTATTGCTATTGGATGAGTTTGATTACTGATTTACATTGCAATCGTGTATATAAGTTTAAAATGAAAGCCAATATTTGTTGCAAAACTAAAAAGGTTTCAGCAATTTAGTTTTTATTCCAGTTATTTTAAATTCAGTTTTGTATATATATGCATTGTATAATATCATATGTTTTCAATATGTACAATTAATAACTATTGTAACATTATCAAATTTGCATATTTCCATCCATGTATTATGATTATCTGATTTTCAGCTTGTGTGACAATGTTGGAGTGCCTTCTCAATGGAAAGAGCTAAGCGCATCGATACGGCAACTCCATCAGACTGTGATCAACAGCACTGTAGTGGAAGCAGGAGGTTCCAGCTGCTCTGTTGCAGTTGGTGCTGAATGCTCATCAGGCTGCAGGAATTCTGACTCAGCTGCTCATCCTTTGCCTACTGTTCTATGTGACTCTGCTTGCCATGATTGCTTGACTGCAACTTCTTCTGAATGCACTCCTTGTAGCAAGTCAAATGGCTCTCTTACCAGGGAAGGTCAATTGGAGGACTCGGTATCTACATCATCCACTTCTGGCTCCACTTATACTTGTAAAGCATCATCTCTTGCTGTGGAGGGTGAATTGACAAGTTCTTCTGATGCTAATGCAGCCAACTCATTAACCACCCCTGATGAAGGTAGCAGTTCTAATGGGCAATCTAGTGATGCTCTGCTCAACTCTTCTGGTTCAACACTAGTTGGAGATAATTCAAGTGATGGAACTTTGGACCAATTGATGGCCATTAAAGATGGTGCAGCTCAAGTGGATGCTAGTTCTGCCAGTTCTGCTCCTCCCAGTGGTGATGGAAAATTCAAGACTCCTAACATCATTGATCTTGCAAACTTGCGTACCCATACAGTCAAGATTTCCAGTCCTGTTTTCCAAAGGCCTTCAATTGACAGAATTAAAAGCTTGGTGGAAGAGTAAGTAAAGCTCTCAATATTACCTTGTTTGATTGAATGAGTGGAAATTTTTTATCTACTGCAAAATGGCACAATTCGAGCAATTCTGTTTTAATTAATCTAAAACATAATGTTTAAAGTTTTAGTAAATTAACTCTAAGCCATGTATCTCTGCTGGTTTTCTTCTCTTATTAGAGTAGATTTTTGCACAAACCCGTGTTTTTTGTTGTGAATGAGGATTATGTACTGTTTCACAGTTTGATGGTGACTGACCCACATCAGCTGGTGCTGCGACTCTCTCAGCTGCTTCAAGAAATGTGTGAACTGCTCAAAGTCCGCCTTCTTGCTGAGGTGCTCAGTTCCCCAACTGTTGCTCAATCCCATAACTTTGCTAAGAGTAAGTACAAAAATCACCATGTGTTTTCTTCCTTTTCTATTATCAAGTTGGTTAAAATTTTACTGTTTTTTTGCTGCATTTATCCATTTTGTCCTTTGATAATTAATTTACACAGACCAACACTGTCTTGCGGCAATGAAATAGGTACCCATCAGAGTCTTCAGGATTATTGCAACTTGTGCACTAGTTTAATAAATGATGAATTGAACGGATATTCGAGGTGATGCCTACCTTCTGGGTCTAGGCTCCCCATGAGAACATTTTCTCTGACAGTTAAGAAGTAAGATATTTTCTCCTTTAAAAGTTATTATGCCACTATGACGAATAAAATTGGTCTCTCACTTTTGTCCATAGGTCTGTTTAAAATATTGCAAGGTTATCAGGTTTAGTGCAAATCAGTGGGAAGTGTAAGTTTTGTGTCCATTGAAATGTTGATGTTTCCCATCATTCTTGGTCACAGTTGAGCCCAAGATGTCTTAAGACAAAAAAAAGGCTTATTTTGCAGCATTTCTGTTTATTTGTGTATCAAGTTCTAGAATTGGTCTACTCTAATAACAATTGCCTCATTTTAATGGATAAGCAAGTATTATTATACAAGTGCAATGCCATGACCAGGCGTGTGCCAAGCATATCAACAAGTGGTCTGTGTGGTGGATGCTGTCCGCCCTGCTCTTCATGCTCTGGAGACACGTTTCTCTCTGAACTGGTTCTCCTTTGCGCTCCATGTCTTCAACATTACCATCCTCGAGGATAAAGATGTCACTGGTTACATCAATGTCTGCAAAGTGAAGGTCAGTTTCTTCAGCAATCTAGAAAGTCACAGATCTTAAGTTAGTTTAATTACAAAGTAAATCTACGGCAAATGTAGTGACAAAATTGAAGTGTATTGAGTGACCTCAATGATGATGAAATTAATGCAAATTTTGTATAGTATATGTTAATGGAATCTTCTTACATTTTAATACTAAATTAAGGACATTACCAGAACTTCCCATCAGTTAGTATGCATGTAGTTTCATTTTACCCCTTACATTTATCATTGCACATTTCAGTTCATATCTGCACTTTATATGTGTAGACTTCTAATTTATTGTGAAAAACTCACATTAAACCCTATTTATGACAAGATATTTTGAAAAAATTATAACCTTTCATTCAACTCTATTTCTTACTTTCGACCTGACATCCATGTTGAGATGTAGGTTCTAATTCAACATTTGTTTATTATTTCTAATTCAGACATGAGATTATGTTCTACTTCTAACATAAGACCACATTTATGCTTGCATGCAATTGCCATCCAGGAATTACACTCTGACTCTATGTAGAGTCAACAATACTACCCGTGAATTTGTTGCTAAAAGAGTAACCTTGCAGGTGTTGTCCTGCTCAAACGCGGCCACAGAAGATGGTGCTGGGGGCGAGGGCGACGTATCAGGCCTCGTGTGGTGGTCTTGGCTGGCCCGTGTTTGCCAGGAGGCAGGAGCTGCTGCCCGAGAAGGCCATGCAACGCGCGTCACGCCGCACAACAGACATAAGTTCAGACTCAAGGATGCTGCTGTTGGCGAGCTGCCTCTTCCTACTGATGGTAGGATCTTCGTCCTTATTAAGATTGCGTTTCAACCTCGTATTGTACATACTTTCATGTTTCATGTGTGTCCCTTTCAGGTTGTAGGCCTTTTGCTCTTGTTTACATTTGGATTCATACCCTGCTATTAGTAGGCCTCTTCTAACTGATCTACCGTAGGTACTTCCTTCTAATGTATATAAGTTTCCTGAATTGGATGTGTTTGAAATTCTTTAATAAATAAGTGGTATGGCTGCAAAGTTTTAGACTGATTAATCCTTTGACAAAGTTATAATTTTTCCAATTTTATTCCTTCCATGATAGTTGTAATTAAGCAGTTACCCTACTAAGTAATCAAGGCTTTGAAACTTTTGGTAGCAGTGCTACTAGCCTCCGCCTGGTGTGGTCTTCAGCACAGTGCTGTTGAGTGTCATTATATTTTATTAAAAGCTCCGAAATGTCAAAATGTCAAGAATTTTCTTGCAATTGAGGATAAAAGAAAATGAAAGAATTGGTTAAAGCTTTATGAATATGTCAGCTAGGTGCCTACAGGATTGACTTTTGAGGCAATAAATTCTATGTACAGTGCAACGTAAAGCATAGTCTCGATAGAGCATCTTTTTATTTGTCTGCAATAAGTAGTATCGTGCGGCCGTGCGGGTAGACAGTTTTCTGAGCTTCTCAAGGCCGTTTTCATATTCAAACTGTTTGTCTTTGTGTATTAAATTTTCTGTGGACCATTCCCCAATGTCAAATATAAAATTTATTATATCTTCATACTTAGATGGGTTTGCTGTTGAAGAAAGAACTCTTTTATTGTTATGTATCTTCAAAAATTTTCTTTTGTTGAAATATGTTTGAGCAAAATTTCTAGTTTGAGTTGAAGTAGGCAGTAGGCTGATCAAACGTCTGTTGAAGTTTTGAAACATTGAGACAATTATTGTTGCTAGAAGTCTCGCACCAATTGGCAGCGTTTCATTTGATGCACAACCAAACAAAACGGCACTAATGTCGCGAGTCTTGTTACACTTCTGCCTCACCTCATGTTTTGTAACTAATACGTAATGTATTAATTAATATATTTATCCAGAGATAAAATTATCAGGGAATTCTAGAATATATATATATATGTATATATAATGTTATAAACTGCAATGCAAAGAATTTGAATCTTGGAGAAGTTAGGAAAATTTGTAACAATTGTTTTCTTCAAGTTCCAAAATATTTATTCATAGACAAGGATCTATGCTACAGTGTTATTTTTGGCAAGATATTCACAACGACTTGTCAGCATTGATTTTTGTGCCCTCTGCCTTCATTCCAATCTGCTGCTTACTGATTAAGGGGACCGGCTAACCTAAAATTTTCAATCTTGGCGTTTTCCACTTTTTGGGCTCATCTTAAAGCTCACTTTTCAACGCATTCAACGGTACCAGAATCATCCCTGTGCGTCGAAAAATGATTTCGTAAAGTGATGATAGAGTCGATAGATATGGTCTTTACGAATCGAATGATACGTGTCTCGATGTTGTAGGATGATATTTGTGGGAGGAGATAGATTTTCTGAAGTACCCCTTTTTAGCCGTTTTCTATGAATTTCACGTTTTCTATCAATTTTTTCGAAAAATTCATAGAAGTAAAATGGTTTTATTTTTACATTTTACGTATGTATGTGAAGTTTCATGATAATCGGATAATAACTGAAGAAGTTTTTCCGGAGCTTAGCCGGTCCCCTTAATGGGGCTACATTTGATTTGAAAGAAGAAGTTGGATGAAATCTTCCAATCAAATTCATTTGAAAAAGCAGGAAGATAAAGTTTCCAAATCTGATTTATTTGATAAGGGCGATGGGATGAATGTAAAGGCGATGGGATAAAAGTACTCACTACTTGTATTCTTCAAAGATCCTCTTGTTCATCAACTTGTTGCTATGTAACGGAACCTGAGCAGAATTTTGATTTTTTATATTTGTCACAGATAATAGTTTTTTCAAGTGCCAAATAATCCAAAATTATGTTGTTGTGTCAAAATTATCATCAGTCAATGGTGATTGATGTAAAATATTTGTATCCTTTATTTGTATTTACCTTACCATGGCACAGGCGTGGTGGCTCCTCAGCCTGTGCAACATCCTGATGGAGGGTCTCAGTCGTTTGCATGCGAGTGTGAACACTGCAGCTCCTCCAAGCGCACTGCTGTTGTCACTCAGCCTTACTCGTCCCCCACAGCTGCACTGTCTGATGCTGCTAACAATGGAGTAAGATTTCCTGATGTGCAGCTAGTTTATGATCATGCTTTTAGTGTATAATACTTCTAGTATTTTGTGCCTGCTCTCTAGCATCCTATTTTCATATATCCTGAATTTTGTTAGGATCGGTATTTTGATGACACTTGACAAGTAAGGCATATAATTTATTAAGCGTTTTTGATGATGTATAATTACCGTAGCGTGTTTTTCCTTAATTTGAAAATTTTATGCAGCTGGTTTACAAGAAAGATAACGATTCCTTATGTACTAAGGTTTTGTGACAGGCGCTCGTCAGCTCTTCCTATTTTCATTAATGCAGGTTTCTCTCTCTCAGCTGTACCCGCACATTCATGGCCCCTCTGCATCTTCACCAAAGCGCCCACTTTTTGATAATCCATACGTTGTGAGTTGATTAATTTTTATCTAGGAATAAGGTGCAATATATTCATGAAGGCCAATTAATTACTCCATTTTTTATCTTTTAATTGCATAATATACTTAGGTTTGATCGAATATGAAGATTCTCTCCATGTTCCATATGTTTAACTGAATAATTTTCTATTAATTTTCAATGCTCAATCACAGCACATATTCAAATCTACTCATATTGCAGCATCACGAGCTCTTGTAGCATTACATTGTAATTTGTGGATTGTCACAGGGTAGCGATATGCTGAGCGAGCAGCTGATGAAGGAGTGGGAGCAGGCTTATGGTGACACGATCGCGCCCCCTGGTCCTGCCCCCTTCCCTCAGGCGTGTGTGGACAGTATGCACTGCTGCACGCCTGCTGCTAATGTCACTCATGTCAGGTAACTTTTTGAACATCAAGAATCTATTGAGCGAAACTTCTCCTCTATCAAGACTTCACCAATTTAGCCTTTTCAAATTTGATGCCTTGCGCTCGTGGCAAACACAGTTGCAATTTCCAGCTACTCCTATTCTATTGCAGAATAATGTACATTAAATATTGTTTAAGTGTATGGTATATAATTAGTAAAGTTTTTGTAAATAGCATATCGGGATCAAACTATCAGTGTATGTAATTTTCGTGAATGTATTTCAGTAAAATTACGCAATTTAATCTCGCTGCACAGTGAAGGAAGCACTCCCGCGGCGCCTGTCACGTCAAGTTGCAGCCCTGCGGCTGTGACGACCACAACCGCCCCACACGAGGCTCCCCCTGTTAAGCACGACAACAACTACTGCTGTGACCGCCACCACCCCACCTCTGCCTCGTCCTCAGCTCCTCCTGCTGCCAGGGCGCGCACCAAGGCCATGACTTGTAAACATGAAGGTCTGACTTGCCTTCATACTGTACCTTTATTGCTTTGTATGACGTGCATTAAGTTTGATCGAGGTAAAGCATATTAAGCATTAAACTGTATCATATTTTTGTGCATCAGTTCGTGTGTTGAAGTATAAACTTAACTGGTACTACTATCGTTGAATTTTGAACCGAGTGTCATGCCAATTTTTTTCTATATTACATTTTATAGGCAGTTTGAATTTGTGAATTTTTTTTTTATAATGAAGGCAAATTTTTTTTTTTTGCCCGGTGGTTGCAGTGAGACCCCAATTTCTTAATTTTTTTTTCCAAACAGCATCTTGTCATGCACGGATGCACAATCTCCAAGAAATCTTAAATTTTTAACCCAGAACCGTATCAGAATCTGATTGAAAATCATACAATGTACATATTATATTGAATTTTTGAGTAGTTGGAAATTATCTATCCTATGCAAAGCCATTTACACATGCTCTGCCTTCACACTTATTACTATGGTTTTCTCAAAGAAATTCAATTGCTGAGAAACCATTCTGGGTGTTTGTGTTTATTTAATCTAATTTTGTTGGTTTCGTCGCTAAAAAAATATCAAGTGCATTACTTTTTGGAGGTATTAACTCTACTCCAATGAATTTTAACCCTTTGGATGCTCTTTTTATCATAAGAGCTTTTTATTCGTTAACCAATCAGTTTGTTCATTTTATTTAGAGATTTTTTATTAACTCTAATTTTTTAGTACAACTGATTTTTGTGTTTCAACTTATGATTATAAGTAACAAAGGATATAACACATGCATAAAACATTTGTAGGACGCTAGAAATTCTCTTCGTTTTGTTGTTGAGGACATGTTTATCAATTAACGCTGAGCGTTCAGATTTATCAGCTCCTATGGTTCAAAAGATATCAACAGACTCTTGTAACGATTTATATGTGTTCTAGACGACTGCACTGGAGAGTCTCAGAGCGGCACGGCCGACGAGTGGAGCAGTGGTTGTAACAGCAGCAGTGGTGATGAGAGCGACGCCTCGTCCAGCGGTCACGTCGATAATCATTGCGATTGTTGTTACTACCACGGCGTGCATCACAAGCAGGTCAGATATTGTCCTAACGAAGAAGGTAATGTGTCTTATATGATCTAATGATATATCAAATGTCGTCTGGGTGACTGCTGCTGTCATTCAAATGAAATTCGTCAATAAAGTGAAAACAAAATGCTGCGGACAAAATCTGTTTTACAGTTTGAAGTTGAGTATTAGTTTGTGAAAATTTTTTGTTCTGAGAAATGCTGTATGGTGTTCATTTGTGGTAACGATAATATTGATCTATTTCTGGGCAGTCGGGAGGACGTCAAAAATACTCTGATCGACGTGACAGACTTCTTCGCATCCTAAATGAGAAGAAGATTGCTGGACAGAGCGTTGCAAAGCAACCCGAAGAATCTCAGCCTGCACGCCAGCCGCAGCAGCCCTATGTAGGGGACAAGGACATTGACACAATACTCAGCTACATTGATGGCAGCACTGCTCAAAAGAATAATAAGAAAAAACAGAAGCAACGAGTCAAAAAGGTATGTAAATAGTCATAGGTACCGTGTCTGCACTCAGTTTATGGTGGTTTGAGGCTCATCCCTCATATTATAACAACATTCAAATTATATTTAGTGAAAAGTTGTTATATTATGTGTATGGCGTTGGGTAACCTGGTGAAGTAAGTATTTTGATGTCCAAATTCACGTTGAGGCTATTTTGATTTCTGAAAAATGGTTACCAATGATAAGTTTGTTGTGACGTGTTTGGACCCACAAAACTGAGAATTGTTTTAAATATCTGAAGAATTTTATTTGTATATATATTAGTTAATATATTTGAATTATACAATATTGGTAACTGAAATAATATCATACCAGGTGGCCAGCAAATCCAAGAACGTTGCTCAGGCAAGAGCTGCAGATGATATGAGTGATTCCAATGATTGCACAACAACCGTGAGTGGAGGACGCCGCGCAGCTAACAGCAAGAGTGCCTCATCCAGCAAGAGTAATTATAGTAGCAGTTCAGGAGCTATGGTCAAGCTGCCTGCTAAAGTAGAAGTTAGGAACACTACTGATGCTGACCAGAAACAGCGAGTTGGCTCGGCGAGCAGAGCAAAAGCACCGCTTGAGGCGACTAGCTCATCTGATGGATGGCGAGATGGCATGTCTGAAGAAGAAGACAAGCAGGAGAGAAACAGGGTGGTTGTTCAGCCTGCTGCAAGTCTTGATGAGCTTGAAGACAAGGATGGTGCCATTGCTGAACTGAGACGCCGTGCCCACGAAGTTACCGTCACACTCATCAAACAAGACGATCAGCTGGTGAAGATACCCCACATTCTTAGAGAGCATTTTTTTTCATGTTAAGTGACTCAAATATCATAGAATAAATTCTTTTTCATCTTTGTCAAGATAATTTTGGGTTCATAGTTTCGATATTTACTTGTTTTTGATGCGTAAATTTGTTTTCTTACAGTTAAAAATTTTGTTGCAGATGAAGCATCAGGTTCTCCAGTCTAGAGGCTGCTCTACCTTAACCAAGTCACAGGAGATGCAGCAACAGTTTCAGCAACTACAACAGCAGCAGCAGCCACATCAGCAGCGATTCAACAGCGGGTCATCACACCCTTTACACGCAGCTGCAGCACCACCCGCTTTCTCTGCATTTGCAGCGCCTCAGCCAACCCTGGGAGGTTTTGGTTTTCCAGGCCTGAGGCATTCCAGGCCTTCATTCCTGGTGGCATAAGCTCCTTCTCTAGTGGTGAGGTGGCTACTGGTGGTGGAGGCCTAAGCAAACTCATCCAAGGCCTGGAAAAAGACGATTCCAACAAAGACAACAAGGATTTGCAGATGGTGACAATAAGGCGTGTCATGGACCCAGCAAGCTCTGAGCCCACAGTCACCATCACGCTTAAGGGAGAGCAGGCAAACCAGGAAAAGGTTTGATACAAGCTCGTTAACGGCCAAGGTGAGCCATCTTGAATAACCTGTGTCTACGCTAAGCCAAAAAAGCTGTAAATTTGTATTTGTTACTATCATACCATTCAAGCCTCCAACGCTTTTGAAAATTTATCATTCATTTTTCACTTTATTGAATTGCATTGTTTTTTTTTATTGAGCTTTTGTAATGATTTCTCTGTAGATTGTTTGTATTATGATCTTTTGTAGATTGTTTGTATTATGATCTACAATTTTGTTATATCGATTAATATTAATATTAGGATTTTGCTTCTGTTGTTAATGCCTAGCATTGTTCGATTGTCACTATGCATGTTCTAATCGCTGCATTTTTGTCAGCAATTGCTGGAAACAACAGCGCAGGTGGTGCAGGCTACACTGCTGTAGCAAAGAAGGAACCGCTCCGTCCTCCCCTAACTTGAGTCAGAAGGAGCTCAAGAAATGGAAGAAAACGCAGAAAAAGGAACGGCAGAGGCAGCAACAGAATAGCGCCCGAGTTGCGGTAAGATAAAATTCATCTTCATTTCTTTACTGATGCAAGTACTGTTGTGCAGGACACTAACTAACTTTGTTCTTGCTGCCCATTTAACGAAAATTTTTCGTTTCATGCCCTTTGAGTTTGTTTAAAAGACCAGATTACTCATAGCCATTAAATTTATCGTCAAGTTAATAGTATGACTTTTCTCCTGAACAAATCTTGTAACACAGCATTCACGGTCTCACTGTTGACTTCTAATTTCTAGGCTGATCGAGAACACGACATTCACCTGCAGCAGTACGAACAGCAGAGAGAGATCTTGAAGCAGCAAGAGGAACAACTTCGTCTGCAGACTTTGCAGATACAGCGGCAACAAGAAGAGCTGCTCAGACTGCAACAATTGCATGCCGCTCGAGCCCTGCAACAGCAACAACCGCATCATCAACAAACGCTCAAGCAAAATAATTCAGCTGGCAAAAGGAAGAATGCTAACCAATCTAATGTTGGTAAAGCAGGCAAGAAAAAGGGGAAGGAAAATGAACAGAACGTGAACAGAACTGGTTCTGGAAAAAGTGGGGATCTGGACGACCTTACTGATGGGCTTCAGTTACCACCTGGTGTGAGCATCAGCCGAGTTGCTGGTCAGCCTGGAATGCTTAATATTTCGTCAAATCCATCTTTTATTGGCGGTATGACACCACCAATGATGGGTGGACTGCCCTCTGCTGCATCTGTAACCGGTATGTACAATATGAATTCGATGGCTGGCATGCCTCACCTGAACTCTGGGCTTTCTACTGGTGGAAATCTTGGCGGTTCTGATCTACTCCTGAAGTCGCCGTCGTTCGATCCCTGGAGGTATACTGACCAAACCATTGTTGACGACTTGGCCGGAAAGCGATACCCGGAAACAAGAAACCTAACGAACCACCAGCAAAGGAAGAATCTTCTAAGAAACCGCAAAAGAAAAAGAAGCAGAACGAAGCGCGTGAACCCAGTCCTCCAGTCGCTAATATCCCAGTCAAAGGTAAGAATAAAACAAAGGTGCAATCGAAAGTGGTAGCTGAGAAAAACACTAATAAAAAATCTGACAGGCCTGAACCATAAAATAGTAAGGCTCCAGTAGCGCCGAGACTTTTGATAGTGAGTCAGAGAAAGATTGCATCCTGGACAAACGGATGACAGCCGACGAGCGTATCCATGCAGCTCTTAATGGCTTGTTGGATCCTGAACGCTTGAGCAGAAGCCAGAGAATGAAATACAACAAGCAAGTCATTGCTAGAGGAGATGGCACTCTTTTGTTGCCCACTGCTTGCAAGAAAAAGACGAACCAAAAGCACAGGCTTCTAAAACTAAAACTGTTGCAGTCGAAGATAAAAAGGACGTTGTTGTGGAAGAGCTGGCAACGCCGGTTTTGCGCGACAGTGATGATGAACCTGGAGACGATGAGGATCTGATGGACCAAATCTACAATTTATCTGTGGACAAAAAAGGTAAAAATAATTTGCGCGTTACTGGGTTCTCAATCTGTTACTCTCGTGACGATAAGGCCGTTGAGGAAGTTAATTCCTAACCTACTGCAGATTCAGCAGTCGCAGAAGCATTAAGTCATCAACCCGTTGCTCCTGAAACCGTCATTGCCAAGGCTACTGCGACAAGGAACTCAAAGGCATCTGAAATGCCAGTAAAAAGCAATCTGTTGTTGACCCAAAGAAAATAAAAAATAATGAGGTTAAAATTCTCAAAGCTGGAACTGTGGAATTGACGAAACCCAATCTAATGCTCCCATCAAAACAGCCGAGCCGAAGAAAACGGAGAAAAGATTCCAAAAAGCCAGTTGATGTAGGTCAGTCCAAGTCCTCAACTAAACCTGCACCTGCTAAGCCTGTGATCCCCAAAACTAACTCCACGGCAAAGTATAAAAGTAAACATCAGATTAGATCTTCCGCTACCGCGAACGGAGAAGTATCATCGGTAGAGCCTGTGAATGTGAGCAAGACGAAAAATTATGATGAAGCTCTTGCAACGGGCAAACAAGAGCGGTCCAGCGAAAACATCTTGGGTGGCTGATCGGCAGCCTCCCAAGAATGTAAGTTCCCAAAAGTAGCAAAAGCTGCCCGCAAAAAGCGATCAGAGCGACAAGAGTATCGCTGTTCAAAACAGACATCCAGGGAATCAACAAAAACTTGCCAAACAGCAGGTACAGATGCAAGGTTCTGATAACCATGTTGCTCAGGCTTCTCTTCTTCAAACTCGTCAACATCATCAACCACAGCCAGTTCAAGAACAGAAAATGCAGCCTCAGCAGCATCATCAGCAGCAGCCACTGCCACTTCAGCAAACGATGCAGTTGAATTCTGGTGCTAGTCGACAGAGTGCTGGTCATTCCGTCCCAAGCGCCAAAAATGCCGTAAACAGTACCGCACCGTTGCCTCAGACGCAGCAGTTCCAACCTATGCCCCAGCAGAACCTTCAAGCTTATGGCCTTCCGCAATCGCAGCCTGACCCGAAAAATGTCAATTTATTACAACAGCAGCAATTCCCACGCCATCCGACATCTGTGCCACAGCTTCCTCAACTGTCTCAGCTGCAGGGTCTTCAGGCAAACAGCCATTCTAGGAATGTCTCTCAAGTACAGGCCTCTCAGCATCACCAGCTCCCCGTTACTTCCCATCAGCAGCTCATGCCTGCACTGCATTCTGTGTTCAATGACGCAGTATCTCAGAGTTCTTATAATCCGCTCATTAGCTCGTCTGCTTTCTCCAATCCTGCTGGCTTCGGTCCTTTCTCAAACTCGTCAAATACATTTGGTTTTTCTAACGGCAGCGCTTTTGGGAATTCTTCAGCGTTTCCTGCGGTTACTAACCATGGTCTCGGTAGTCTGGGGAACACTGCGGGATATTCAAGCTCAGGCCAAAGCTACCTCGGTAGCGCTTCAATGAGTGGCTCAATGTGTGCAGCATCATCTCCCAATTACTGCTTGTCAAATGGAAACGGTGGATGCGCGGATACCTCCGGTGGAGGCTTCAGCACCTCTCCTCTGAGCTTTTCGAGCGGATGTGGCGATGGCCATGAGGCACGCTATGCTCAGTATCTTGCTGCAAACGCAAACGCCCTCTCGTCGTACGGATCTTTTGGATCAGGGAGTCTTGGAGGCATTGGTGCTGGCAATGGCGTAGGAGGTTTTGGCGCCGGAGGTTTGGGGGTCATCGGAGGACCCGTGAATTCTAGCCTTAACTCCGCGCTGGTGAATCGTCCGTACGTGTCGTCTGTTATGGATGACTCGAGCAGAATGTACCAACCTAACCCCAATGCCGGAGTCATCGGTAAGAAGCCGAAGAAAGGGCGTAAGGGTCTGGAAGACATGTCGAACCTCGATTCTGTTTTCACGCCTCAAGATATGTTGGGTGACATGGATGCGTCAGATCGTGACGTCGAAGCCTTCAAACGCTTTTGTCTGTACGATGTGCCGAGGCCTGATGGCGAGAAACCCAAGATCAACTTCAACGTCAAGGACATCCTCATCAAGAAGAAGACTGAGGGCGACATGTAACAGACTTTTTCCCGCTCTGGCACTAGCTCATTTATAACTTTTTCGAATAAAGGATGTTCCCTTCTGAAATTAGGTTGCGCGACGCCTCTTATTTTGTGTTATGCAGCTGTAGTTTCGTTTTTAGTTTTCTCTGAGCTTCGTTACATCTGGCCTTTGAGACAGGCAGTTGAATTGTAACTGTCTGAGATATAATCATTCCGTATGTATTTCTAACTGATAAAAAATTATAAGGGATTAAGTCTTATTGAATGAAGCGCTTCAATTGAATGTCTGTTTTGTCTCTGACTGTTAGAGGGTATTTTTAGTGGCATTTCCGCTACCAATATTGGATATGTGATGCATTGGACCGGTATTTTGCACTTCAAGGCAGCACTTCACAGCTTTTGTTTATTATCATGATTTAGGTAAGCACATTTATTTACAGACAGAAATGTCTTTTATTTTGCATAACGGACAGTTTTGAAGTTGAAGGCTGAGGCAGCAGTTGTCTCTGCCGGATCCGTTACCAACCTTGAAATTGCGATGACTTGAAATTCAGAATCAAAGCTTGAGTCAATTTGATGGCCACACCTGGCCTTAAGGCCGCACGTAATTCAGTTTTAAGTTTATTCTTACGTAATAGCTGCGTGGCTGCTGCTAGGCATAAATCACTTCGTAGCCTAGAGGCTTCATTAAACATCGGCTGGGTTGAGCATGTCAAAGCCCACATAAACGTAACTTTTCCTTGTTAACTTCTAAGCCGCGAGTGATTCAATTTATGGTTCTTGTCTCCAATTACATTATGTACGGAGTCTTTACGTTTTATTTAACCCTTAAGTATTCTGGCAGGTCGAACCAGAAGTATTTACAGTAGTATTTGGGCAATACACAAACGAATCTTTTGCATAAATTGATTCATAGTAAGAATATAAGGAATCGCAGATTAATAGCTCATATTCTGTACTACGTTGGCAGTTGCACTCCATGGACTGACGAAAATACGTGTGAAATTACAAAGCATCCTGGGAAATCATCCTATCGTTCGTTATCATCCTATCTGCTGAGTTGTTTACCACTGCAAGTCATTTTGCTACGCACAGGCATGTTTCTGATAAACTCCGATTTTGAGAACACAGTGAGCAAAAGCTACCTGTTTGTCATTAATACTAGAAATCATTAAAAGTTAGATCGAGAAAGAGCATAGAGTGTAAGAGTACCACCAATACAAAGATTAAGTGATAAGTTTGATTTAAGTGATTAAGTTTGAAATATGCATCACTTAGCATTTTGAGCGTCGCTATTTGCTCACTATTATTTTAAATTCAATTCGAACCCTAGCTCACTGCTCATATCTTTGTCATCCTATCCTATCTGCCATATCACTGTCATCCTGCCCGTCTGTCATTTAATCGCTGAAGAAATGAATGAGAATCTACGTAGATTGATTAAACAATTTGTCGGTCACTTAGTAGAATTTTCAATCATAAATGAAGTACCTGCGAAGACTCGCAAAAGATTAATTGCAACTCATCGGTTAATCGAAATGAATGGAATCGTATTAGATGAACAACCCGTATACTAGTCGTATTGCTTAAATTATCAGTCATGTTCTACCGTTGGTTCTGTTGGGGTGCAGCATCAAGTAGATAGAGTTATGGAGTTGGCTGTCCACTGCACTGTGCTCGCCTGTAGTGTAGAGTCTGTACGCTCTCCGCTCAGTAGTTGTACCCGCGCTGCCTTAGTAGTAGGATGCTGGGTTTGTTGCGGTGTTCCCTCTATCGTCTGTCTTGATCCCGACAATGTTAAAGTTTATAGAATTTAATTGAAGCTTGACCAATATGTGAGGTTAGGGTATAGGATACAGATATTTTTGCTGGCTGCTATGTCTACTGTCAACAATCGTAGGTGCATCATACATATTGCAAAGTCGGCTTTAAGATGATATGTCTCAATGTCAGATAAAAAATCATACATTTTAAAAATCAATGCTGAAAAGATGGTTACAAGTTTTAATTCGCATTTAGTTCCAATTTATGCAGTTTTATCTGCTGCTTAGTCTTCCTTAATCATAGTTAGATTTCAGTTTTGCAAAATTGTTAGAATGCATGAATGACTCAAGTCTAAACTAGAGGCTCGTCACGGCAAGCTGGATACGTAGTGGTTGCTCTCAGGATCGTTATAACGTCCAATGCTTTTTTTTAGTTCTCGTAGCAAGTTTGCCATTGGTGGATTAAACTTGAACGAAAATTGTGATTGGCTCAGGAAATTACCCAGATATTCTTTGATGCTGGCGTGAACGCAGTCAGTTGATCGTTAAAAACAGAACCCCCCACAGCCTCGTTGCCGTTTCTACACCATCGCATTTTTCAAGTGCTTAGTGCTCCTTGAACCATTCAGATTTAAAACTTCGCCGCTCCGCATTTCGTAAACAAAAAAAATCCTCAATGGAGCTAAAACGGTGAGTAGGTATTTCTCTTTGAAAAACACGCTTCATTGAATTAATTATATACCTATATATCTATGGTGAAGTACTATATATATCAGAAGTAAAAAAATATATCTGTCAATACCTCTACTGACTGATTTGATGTTTTGTATTATTTTTCATATGCGGCTGCTTTCAAAGTCGTGCGTGCCTGTAGTGTACTCAAATGTAGGCGTGTTTAGGTGGCACGACATGAGGCACCAGTGACGGAACTCCTCAGATCGACTAGCCTATATATATGCTAACACGCAACTAACTCACTCGCTATTTTAGGATGAAGCCGAATAATTGAAGCATTTGTGAAATTACATAATTAAATTCGTTTGCGGCGACAACGGTGTTGCCTTGCAGCCTAGGAGCCTAGCTTGTAAGTTGAACAGAGTTAGGCTAACTGAGATTGTCTTACATAATGTCTGCTAAAGCTGTCTATCTACGAAAGGAATATAAATGCGTTGCGTGTTGTTGGGTGTAGAAATTACCTTACGAGCGCCAGCATTGATACGGTTTTGTCTACATTATCTAGCAAAATGTTGATATTTCGGGGTATTTTAATCATTCAAAAGTGTTTTCTGTCTCTTTTTATAATTCCCATACATGGTGTTAGGGGAACCTTATTGAGTGTAAATTCAGCGTTCAGCATGGATTCAAATTCAATAATTTAAAGCGTTCTATCTATCAGTGCATTTCCTCATTCATTCGATGCTACTATATTCTAAGCATGATAGCGTTGGTGAATTTCAACGACAAAGTATAAACGGTATGGAATTCATTTAATAAAGAACGTTTATGAATATTCTGACGGTTGAGTACCACCAGACGTGACTGACATGCGCGGGATGTTTGGAATTTCTGATCGCTATGAGCCATGGTTTACCGTTTGCATATGCGCATATGATTTTCCGGTGTATTATTTAAAGTATACATTAGTTCTTGTATTTGAGCTCATGAACATTTTCTAGTAGGTATCGATGTATCTCAGTCTCTTAGTATGTTAAAGCTTAATAGCTAACTGTAGTACCGGTAAGCTTTTAAGATGCCCAAAGAAAAACTTATCTAAATTAGATCGATTAATTTAATGCTTCTGGAAGGTGCTCAGGCTACTTTTAAATACATTATCAAAAGTTATGCGGCTGCTCCATATCTAAGCTTTTTTCTATTCTTGAAGCTTGTAGCTCCGTTTTGAATCGAATACTATTGTCTTGAGTGAAAATTAACCAATTTAAATAACACTTTTGATGATGATAAGCCGCAGAGCAACTCGTTTCTCTATGAAGGTGTATGCAGTTTACTAGAAGCGCCTATGCTACATGCTGCCCATTCTACTGTTTCCGGCTTGTATAAATGTTTTTAGTTATTGAAACATGATCACTAATTGGTAAGCAATTCAAATTGTTGTATTATTTTCAATAAACGCTTCGTTATCGGTAATTTTAGTCGATGAATTTCTTTAAACATGTCAATACTCCAAATAGGCATTCACGGTGTCATGACTTATTGCACGCCTTTTGAGAACAAAATCGTACATAGTTTGAATCCGAATTTAATCCAAGATTGCACACCTGTCTTGCACACCTGTTAACTTGCACACTTGGCTATCACTATAGGTTTATCAGCACCTTTACGTACAACAACTTTTATGTAAGTTGAAACTGGAAACTTCGCAGAAATGAGATACACGGCTGAATTGTTTTATACCAGCTATTTATTTTTAATCAATAAAAGTTTCCATCCTAATTGTAGACTTAGTATAATAAGTTATTACGAGGGATATGTTGCATCTTGCTGTTCATAGTTAGAAATTCATTGTGAACGTAAATCCTCAAGTTAATATCTCGGTTATTGGCTTACAAAACTTGTCAGAGTACAAACTTTACTGCCATGGAGACTGGGCGGGGAACATGGACTTCTTACAGCTTTGCCTTGCAAACAGTCATATATATGTCGTGCCGAAATCGCGGAATTGCTGAATCTATTGAATCGGGAATCAGTTTGCCGATTCTGTAGAACCAACATTTTGTTGCTAATTCAGAAAATCGGACGTTAAGGTTAGAGCTAGAACATACATCGACAGTTAGAGCCAGAATAGGTTATGTCAAGTCGATCACGCTCCTTATATTTGAATATTAAAAAAACAAAGAACATGGCTGACATACCTAACCCCAGATTCCTATAGTATAGAAATGCTGATTATACAGAATCGGCAAACTGACTGCCACAGAATCGGCAACTCCGCGATTTGGGCACGACATATATACCTCATGCTTTGCTGCGTTAGATCCTTTAACGTCGCAATAGATGAGAACACGTGGCTCAGCGCGGTAACTTGAAATGAAGCCCTCTTATATCTGATGGTCTTGTAGACTTGAGTGAGCGTGTAGTTGGGGTGAAGCTTGTCTCACGGGACATCCATTTGAATCTTCCAGCTTCAGCAACCGCTGCCCATGCAGACTATTGCTCTGGCTGTGCCTGCTCTGTGTTGTCTCCACCATCGTGGTCGTGACGCTAGTGAAATCACCTACAGACACTAGTGAGTAACCATTTAATTTCCTCTTGAAATTGTTCATATATAATTAAATAAGCTCGTCGGGCGCAAAAACATTGTGTAACATTATAATTCCCCGGTCTCTTTAGTGGTGTCGGTTCAAGCATTGCTGCCTGCACTTCAAGCTAATGCCTTGCGCTCACTCGACTGCCCCCCGCCCCTGACGAGCGATCAGATCGCGTTCGACATCACAGACGTGATGAGCGGAAGGGCCACACTCAAGCAAGACGACCCAAAGCTCATTGAGGTCAGTTTATAATTCTTGGATTTGCAATTTTTTACATAACAACGAGTTCTGTAAGGGTTAGTTTATGATACATGAATATGGCTTTTTTCAAACAACCCTAAGCTCATTAAAAATAGTTTGTGATCAATATAATTTTTAATGTCTTTGATTCTTACAACTTTGCTGTACTCTTCCACTCGCGCACGCTTATTTTTGTTTCCGATAGCCGCGTAATTTTTGACATCTGAATTCGTTTTTTACATCACTTCTCTTTAACTTCATTTCTTGCTGTTTGTCTGCTACAAATCTTATAATCGATTTTTAACTCACTTTTAACTGTTCAATTGATCTGAAATTTCGCATACTTGCGTAAAGTTGGAGACAATGCATGAATCAATTTACAAAATAAAAAATTTAAAAATGGAAATTTTCTGTTTTATTAAAAAAATTAAACAAATAATTTTTTTCAAATATTAAAAAATAAAGTAAAAAGTTCATTGTTCATGTGTAACATCAGAGACAATAGCCTCTTTAGAAGTGCTGTCTATAAAAAGTAATTTTTAAACGCATATTATTTACAATTTTTGACAACGTTTTCGAGATTTTTATTCCTTTTGAATTAATTATATTAATTACAGGCTCTTTCAAATTATACGACACATTTTGAAGAAAAAATTCCAAGATTACGCGAAATTCTTGAAAATTGTATGTGAGTAACGAATAATTTCGAGCATCGGTAATCTACAAGTAGCTTATGTATATACATTTTATAATGGACCAATGAAGGCAAATAAATGATCAGTTGCCTTTCAAACTTAATGTTTAATGAAGGCAATAATGTACCAACGAAGGCAAATAAATGATCAGTTGTCCTTCATGCATCAGAGGATACGTTCCCAGTACCTGGACCCTCCGTCGCTGCATCCCTACAGGCTCACGGTCGGGGACGATCCTTCGCAAGGGCAGTCTGCTGCCGTCAGGGAGATCATGGGCAACTTCGTGAGTAATCAAATATCATCATCATTAATAAATGACAAATATGTAGAAGAATTAATATCGTAATAATTAACTACTGAATATCCGTCCATCAAACATGGAGCGATGGTGGACAGGACGAATCAAACTTGGTTCGATTATTCAGCTCAGTACTGCCATCGCTTTACTAAGCAAATATGATAATGACTGTTATGAATTTCAAGTGAATGACCACCCAGCAAGTTGTTATACACACTCGTAATTCATTTATTTTATCTTCTAATTGATTTTTTTATGTTTTTCTACGTTAAAAATGTATTTTTTTTTCTTGCGCCTCTCTAGTTTTTCAAATATGTATACATATTCTTTTTAATTATTTTTAATTCTCATTTTTTAAATTCAATTTCTCTAATTCTGCTGCTCTTTCTTCATTGAGCTTTGTTTCATACTTTAATATTGTAAAATCAATATACTTGAAGTACCGGCTCACTTGGAGGTGCGGGGATAAGTGCAAGGAGTGAAAGAAATGTGAAGTCTCAGCCGAGTAAATTTGTTGTTTGCAATCTTAATGCTGTTATTTCGAAAATTCCGGCATGAATACGCGTTAAATTTTTGACTTCAAATTATTTTGAAATAATTTCCGGTTGATGACTATTATCTCACAAATGCCCGCTAAGAGGATTAAGCTTCTTAATGGTTACACAATGTAGGGAGAATTAGACGACATTTCCAAGTATTTATTTTTCTTATCGATATCATTATAAGTCAGGCGTTCGAGATCTACTTTTTCCAGCCCAGCGTTGCCAGCAGTAGAGAAGTGCAAATAACGGAAAGGTTTTTTTATCCTCATAAATTCATTATGTTAGAAGCCGTTAGTTGAATTCACATTTTCCTGTACATGAATTACTGGAAGTCTAGGATTACTGGATTTTATTTGAATTTACATTTTCCAGCTCATGAATTACTAGAATTCACGTTTCATTAACTTAATTAATTTCTGATCGCATCTGTGGGCTAGATTGTATCTGTGTGTCATTAATTATTCTCCGAAACGTTTTCAGTGGTGATACGGTGAATTTTTTGGGGAGTTTATTGCCTGTTAAGTTTTTACATGATCATTTTTCTGATGTTCAATTAACTCTGCTCATCAGCTTTTAAATACTACTAATTAGGTGGTTAATGAGAAGATCAGTCATTAGCAAAATGATTGCTGAACTTTTCTTTAGTCTAATCTGATACATTAATGTCTGATTTGAGTGATTTCAAATTAGATTGAATTTTAAATATTCAGTCATTTATAATTTTTAGCAGGATTGCACAGTTTGTTCATTTATACCAATTTGAATGGAGAATAGTGTTGATTTTTTGTAAATTTCTTCGTTATTTTTTTCTTTTCATTTAATCAAGTCTATACGTTCTTTCGCTTCATGAAAGAATGTACCGTAATGAATGAAATTTGCCCACAGTTTTCAGTAACGTTATTTCTAGCTTTCAATAACTTGGCGAATTTGAAATATCCTTAGTGTTAACTGGAACAATTGCCCGAATTTTTTTCTGCGTAAATTGTTGGAGTAATTCGTATATGAGGACATATTATACAGCGAAATTACCGCTAACAATTTTGCCAATAGTGAAATCGGGATTGTAACTATAATCGATGTAAAATACCGTACTGTTAGATTTAAAGCTACCAAATATGCACTTAATGGCTAATTTTAATTGAAAACTATCATTATATGTGGCATTAATCTTAGTTTGACCACGGATTACGTTATCTCGGACTGCTTACCCTTCTACATCAACCGCTTTGTAGTCTCGAATGAAAGAAACGCTGCCTCTTAGTTGATATTAATCTCTGCAAACACGACCAGACCCCATCTATAATAGCTTCTCAATCATTAATAATACGACACTCACAACTGTGTAATAAGAATGCTTTTTCCCTCATGTAGTGGAAACCACTAAATTCTGTACTAGAGAAGATGTTATGTAAAGAGGTGCCTTGACTCGAGTAGATGTTTCGTAAGTTTTGTCCCTGTTGCAGGGGTACTTATCTATTGCCACTCTATAGATTATTGTTATCTGATTGTTATTGGACTTTTGTTCACTGCCATCCATCATTGGAGCCTGTGAAGCTATTAGCGGGGCTGCTCCTCTGAACCTCTTTATGTATGAACACATATCTCTTCACCACATGCTTCTACATCCCACTTGCACACAAAAAACGATTTAATTAGTTTCTAACAGCTAAAGGTGATTAGTTTCAGCCAATCACTTATTTTCAGTACCTAGCTAAGAGAGAACTAGTTTACAGCTATGCAGCAGTCTTCAACATGAATTTGTAATCTCGAATAAGTTGCCTGCGACACATGTAGGCTTACAAATTAATTAAAATTGTCGTTCTTTTCAGGCGAATCTGCCATAAATTTATGTTCAATTCACGTTACCCCTGGAATTGTGTGAAACATAACGGTTGCTAAGCTGTTAGAAACAAGACTATGAATGCGTCAGGCGTGCTCTGGGTCACTGAAGCATCGATCGCTTCATCGACCCGCACGTGTCTGCGTCCAGTACAACATCGATGGCATATCACGCTGATGCGTTCTGGTTCTGACTAGTTTTTGCCTTTGTTGATGATTGTGTTAGGCTTGTATTAAATTAAGAAATTATGAAGTGCGTTCTTTCTCTGCCAGACGGCCAACATGCTAGTCTCATAACTCTTGTTCTGCTGAAGGTAACCAAAGTCACTATGTCTTTTGAAACGAAATGAATTACTGCTGCTTAGTGTATATTTCAAAAAAGCTTCAAGCCATGTACAGTTATGTTCAACTGTTTCAACAGCGTGACGGTTTCTTCGTCGAGTGCGGAGCTCTGGACGGCGAGACGCGCTCCAACTCGCTTGTCTTCGAGAAGACCCTGGGCTGGCGAGGCCTCCTGGTCGAAGGCGACCCTAAGAATTATGATTTGATTCTCAAGAAGAACAGGAAGGCCTGGACGACTAATGCTTGTCTCAGTACAAAGCCTTATCCGCATTCCGTGAGTTTGATGAGTTACATCTGACGACCTCGAATCTGATGTTCTGCATTCATTTGACAAAGACAGTTCAATAATGACCAAAATGTTTTCGAAAAAGTTGGCCCTCATCTTTTTCAAAAATAAATAAGGTTACTGACATTTATCTCGAGCTTATTTTTTCGCTTCTGTCTACTACGTAACATTAAATAACAACTAAACGCAATTATTCGCTATAACAAGATGCGATATTTTTTCAAGTAATTTATGCGTTAAAGTTTTCATTATACTTTGATTTTTTTCACACGTAAGAGAGTAAGTTCTGAAGTGAAGTTCGTATCCGACTTGAAGTTAATAAATTTTTTAAAGCTTTTTCTCCACCGTTGTTATCACTTGTTTTCTTCAAGTTGTTCAACAATGCCTGGAGCAGCTGCTGTGTCCGAGACTTGTTCAAGGAATGTCAGCTCAAGGCGTCTGAGTGATATGTTGATGTGCCATTGCTTTGATGGAAAATTGAGTGGACGATTCTTGCATCGAGTTACAGCTGTGAAATGTACAGGTGTGCCCTCGTGTGTGTTGGAACACAGATTATACTTACAGCGGCCGCCAAATCTCAATACAGAATGTTTGACTGCCGACAGATGTGACGAGAGATTGGATGTGGAAATTTATGGTTCGAATACAGAAGTACTGACAAAATGTTGTTTAGTTATATTCGTGGGATCTATAATGGTTCGTGCAGTAGGTCTTCGGAATCGGGAACCGGACGTAGCACAAACATAACGATTCCATGAAACTGATCTATGCATTCAATATATATATGGACGAATTAAAGTTTACAGTTAGGAGTGATAAGTTTTGTTGTCGGCCACGGCTAATTGTGGATAAAGGCTCGTATAATGGTGTTGGCCATCATAATGAGCCTTGGTCCGCTGTAAAATGAGATATTTTAAAAGTAGATTATCTCACTTGAAAAATGAGCGAGGATGGAAAGTAACTATGAAATGTACGCAATAAACATGAAAATACGAATAATAATTACTGGTTAAATTTCGGATTTATTTCAAATGAGATTACCCTCGGTTCTGTACCAATTTTTGACACGCAAATTCATCTAATCCAGTGGTTCCCAAACTTTTTCAGCCTGGAGCCCCCTTTGGCTCCCCAGTGAATCTCTAGCGCCCCCCTCCCTGACAGACACATATAAGAACAAACGCCTCTTTCTTGATATTTAGTATGCTGCAATTTTAAAAGAGAAAAGTTAAACACAAATGTGTATTTCTCGAATCGAACCCCATTTAGTAAACCACTATATTTTTTACAGTTTTAACTGTTTCAGCACTAGAAATTCAAGACGGCTCGGACAAATTTACAGCCGGACTCGTGGCCGGTCTCGCAGCCGGTCTCACGGCCAGTCTCCAAATTCAGTGACCAAGGAATGTATCCCAAACTAATGAACGCAGCTCGATAAAATTTGGAACACGTATTCATTAGGACCTAACTGTGATGTTTAGCTCGTGAAAAAATTGTAAATTTCACCTTCATTCGGGATTTATATGGCGATACGGGCCGAAATTCGCAGTGATCAAAGAATCTCTTTCAAACTACCGAACAGATTCTAACGAAATTTTGAATATAAATTCCTAACTGCCAAACAGTGATTTTTAGCTCGTGAAAATTTATTCGATTCGGAGTCATGTTCTGCATGTGTTGTGTACAAATCTTCAAACAAACGTACGAACTTCTGACTTCGACTTCGCGGACTGCCGCCCCCCTACTGCCCATTTCTTCCTCCCCCCCTCCCCCAGATCTTTCCATATCGCCCACTTTGGGAACCACTGATCTAATCAATGAGTTCAACACTATTTATTGGCCGCTAGACATCGATCACGCTGGTATGATGAATTCAAGTGAAAGATGAGGATTTGTTTCGTGCTCGACTAAGTACCTTAAACAGAAATTTTAATCTGTTCATGCAGCCATAGGGTGGTAAATTTAATGCTTAGTTGTTACTGATGCAAAAAAGTATAGGTTCCGCATTTCGTAAGATTTAAAATTGATATATTTACGTAATAACGGCCGATGGAGGCAAATACGTAAAGATGGAACCATAAAACCTTATTTGGCGGCTGCGTTTGAAACCAGCGTTCGAAGTAGAAGGCGTTTGAAAGCATCGTTAGGAATAGCCTCAAACCATCGTGAAGGGGATTTGAAATGTAATCCCATAATCAAGCAAAGAAATCTGATTCAGAATCAAATGCATAATTCAGAAAGGCTCTAAAGAACCGGCATACTATTCTTTCATAATGAATGTTTTCTCCTTTTGTCATGTGCTGATGTTGGCCTTGCTACTTTTGCCTCATGGGAGTCACTAAATAGGATAAACTTGGAATTTCGGGACATCAAATCGAATGCGCGAAGAAAGATGTGGCTGGTATCCATCTCAACAGAAATTTTTTCCAGCGAAGGAAAATTATTATTAGCATGTGTTCTGTCTCTTGATTCTTTAGATACTGTATGATCGAAGTTATCCGGGGTTGCTACCGGTATTTGTATCTAACCATTTAGCATCCAGCTGTACATATGTTTCGCCTTCCGAATGGTGGCTTTTGTTTATGTATGAAGCTTTGAAGCAGATAAACATGTCGTATTTCATCTCAGACTGCGCTATGACCAGGTGGACATATATATCGCATTTCTCTAATGAATACAATCCAGCAATGTGATATGGATGCAATTTGGTGTATTGCACTCGCAAAATAATTAATCGCTAAAGGTTTGAACATCGTTTGTACTTTGATTAAAAAACGTAACAAACCGAGTTATTATCTATGGTAGAAAAGTTCAAGGGAATTATCTCTTTCATAGTTAAAATACAGATAACACAACTGGAAACATTTTATTAACAATGAAATATTGAAATTTTTCCAGGTAATGTTTCAGCAGCAATTCAACCTCGGCAAGATAAGCAGCGATGACGTGGACTCGCCATCAAAAAAGGCTGGTGAGACTGAAGTTCAATGCCTGCCCATCTACTCCCTGCTGGTGGCGCTGAACGTGACCACCGTGCACTACTTCAGCTTGGACGTCGAGGGCGTCGAGCTGGAGGTCCTCAAGACCATCCCCTGGGACAAAGTTGATATCAAGGTAGGTTATGACTTGATTATATGTATTTCCCCTTAACTCTAGTATGGTACTGTAAAGTTACGTGCAAGTCTTTACTAGCAATTGACAATTTTGAGATTTATTCGAATCTTCGTGTCTGTATTCTACCTCTCACTACATTTGTGAACGCTAAGAGGATTGACACTATTCAATTCATATGGATTGTTTTATGTATGCAGAGGTATATGTTGAAATGCCTAGCACCCAATGGATCTGGTAAGAAGTCAGTAGCTATTTCGTATCAACGTCAGTTTTTGAAAAGATCTGTTCAAAGGTCCAGTTTTTAGATCTCCAATGAAAAATTCACGAGAAGTACATGAATCAGTGACAGGCCACACCGCCTTGTACTTCAGCGCCGATAAACCATGTTATGTTCTTTTGTATTAACGTTGATATTATTCTTTCAGACACTCTCTGTGGAGTTCGTACATGGCGTCTGGTCCAAACCTGATCTGAAGCGCTATATGGAACAACAAGGATATTGGACGTACAAAGAAGTCTCGCAATCTAATGGCTGGGCTAACGATTTTATTTTTGTGAAAAACGACTTCAAAAAGCGAGAAGACGTACTTAGGGATGCTCTTACCCAAACCAAGTCTTTGCATTGACCTCCCTGGAATGACTGAGTCTTGCGGAAGCTGGGACGCAGCATCTAGTTTTACCAAAGACCTGTTAAAACCTGAATCATTTCAGTATTTAGTGCGAAATAAGTTGTTTTCAATATTATTCACTGCGGAATGAGTTTGTTTCAAATTGAAAGATTTTTAGACATTGATTTGTCAGTGTCAATTGTGGGTTCCGACGGACACAAGCTCTGCCTCCTCCGGTATAGATCTCTTTTAAATAAGCATTATGTATGCATTAATTTATTTTTATCTTTTTTAAATGGGTTAATTCAGAACGTGCGGATTAGAATTAATATTTTTGTATCAAAATATCGATGATGAAAACACATTTCAATAAAATAAAAAACATCACATCTTTATGCGATTTTATGAATTTAAAGAATCTTGATTCATGATAAATGTAGAGGTACCTCTTAGTCAGTTACGTTGTTGATATGAAAGTAATTACAGAGCGTTATTTGCACAGTTATCTTAAGTAGTTACCTGTGCCTCGTCAGCTGGCAATCTAATTTTTCAAGTATGTAGGGAGCGAGTTTAGGATTTAAATATTGTTTTTCAACGCTTGCGCAGATTAATTGTTTAGTTATTTGCCATTTTGATATCATCATGATGGATTCGTGTAGAGAAGGTGCTCTATTTCCTGTGCTGTTGTGAAATCGGTGCGACTTGTTGTAACTTAGGAAGTCGCTCTGAATGTTGATCGCAATACTCATATATTTCTGGGAAATCAACGTCTAACCTCATTCTTTGTTTTCATTTAATCAAGATTTTGATTGTACAACCAAATACATTCGTTAAAATCGTCTGTCACGATGCAAGATCTATGCCAAACAAATTTAATATTAGGCTTACTCTGAAAATGATAACGTTTAATTTTTTGTTCTAGGGTTCTTGTCAAAAAAGGTTTATGTATGGTCAATTCTCAATAGTATAAATATTTCTGTTTCATGCCACAGCTGGATGAAGTCCTCATGAAGCTCGATCGTTTCAAGAATAGTTCATTGTTCTGATTATCGTCAAAGGTCAATAGTTCAATTGTGATCAATTTTTGTATCACTTTATTGATTACGTTTGCTCTATGGATCACTGTACACTTTTGCCCTTATTTGAGTGCTAATAAGTTATTTTCACCGTTGAAATCGCGTATGTGTTTTCAGTCTAGAAATAATGAATACATTACTGCGTCCGTTCGACAATGTGTGTACATGCGTGGAGCATTATTTTTCCCCAGACACGTTTTGACTGATGAGTTAGGTTCATATATATTGCACGTTGTTGTTAAAGATTGTTTGTGCGATCATTTATATACATATATACCACCATGGTTCAATCGGGAGCGTCTCCCGCACAACTGTTGCGGGACCGCTGATCTAAAATAAAATTCGCTAAAATTATTTGTCTCTTGCCTCCCCCAAACAGAAGCAGAAACGATGAAGCAGTTGTTTGTTGCCGTCGTACGCCCGAGTCTAGAGTTTGGAAACGTGTGGTCACCGAGATTCGAAAAGTACAGAAATTTAATAGAGAATGTTCAAAGACGTGCAACAAGGATAATTCCAGGCTTGAAGGGCAAGTCCTATGAAGAAAGATTGAAGATTATGAAGCTTCCAAGCCTCAGTTATCGACGTCTGCGTGGGGACCTCATTGAAGTATACAAGTATAGTCATGGTCTATACAAGGTCCCTGAAGGGTTACTAGAATTTGAAACAAGAACCAACACCAGGGGCCACGGCTATAAGCTAAAAAAATTGCGCTGCAACTTCTCCACGCGACAAAATTTCTTCTCGCTTCGAATCACCGACATGTGGAACAGCCTCCCCGATGACATCGTTGGCGCTCCAAGTATGAACGCGTTCAAGAACAGACTAGATAAAGCTATGGAAAAATATATGTTCAGATTTGAAATGCCTAGCTCCTTATCGAACCCGGTGGAAGTCTAGTAGCTTCTTCAAACTATCGCCAGTCATGAAAAGATCCGGTCAAATGACACGAGTTTAGATCTATGAACAAGGCACGAAATGGAAAAGAATCGGCGACAGGCCACATCAGGCCTACACTTCAGAGCCGACATCACTATGTTATGTTAAACCATTTTTTGGTATATTCATGTAACCGCTGTGTATTTTCAGAAATTTACCGTCAAGTAAATTCTTTAATCTTCCTGTATATAATCATATTTGTAACCACATTTTACTAACCTTTCTGATGCTGGCCAGTATCGGCCACACATGGAACGCTGCACGTTTGAGTTTAAAGCTGCTGCACTCTTCTAAAAGTGACAAAGATTTTAACGTAGACACGCCTTTATTTAGAAAAACTTCAATCCGGCGATGGTAAATGTTAAGGTGCTAAAATGTAATATGCCATTCTGTTGTTCTCCAGTGTTCTCGCTTCGAGTCACCGACATGTGGAACGGCCTCCCTGATAGTATCGTTGACGCTCCTAGTATGAACGCCTTCAAGAATCTATCTAAGATCTATCTATCTAAGATCTATCCCTTCCATTTTGTTTTATTTAAACGAGAGCTATATATTTGTTGCAAGTTCTTGTAGATGAAACATGAAAACGGTATTTACCTGAAAATTGTAATTTCGCTGAATTCTTGTTTAGTACAGATTATGATTCGAGTTATTCTACAAGGGTTGTTGTTACTTCTGCATAAATCATTTAGCACATGAAAATTCGATAAAAATATGATTTATCCAGCGTCAAATAATGTGATCTGCACCAGACTCTGTGATTGAACACTACAGTTGCTTCCATTTGGTCCTGTTAGGTTTATTGATAGCGGGCTCCCAAATATAATTTGGGATATTCATAATTTTTATTGTGAGTGGTAACACAATTTGGCTCATTTTCATAACAAGGTTATTATATACAAGTATATTTAAATATATTATTTTTTCATTCATGCGTAATTCAGGCGGTACAAGGTTACCTTGATAGTTATTGCTTGGCAATTTGCGCGCATTAAAAAAAAACAACTTTGTAGTGAGACGGTTATGACTAAAGAAAAAAATTTCTAATTACTTTTATAATTAATATAATTTATTCATTTTTCGAATTTGTAGATGTACAATATTTGCATTGTTGCGACTGCATAACTGTCCAAATCGACACTTCTCAGAGACTCAGACAGTCGCAACTCGTCGCTCGTCAGCTGCAGTTAGCGCGAGCTTTGAAAAGTTAGATAGACATTATTAGACATTGGATGGACATTCTAACCCTCCAGACAGGCAAGAGCGCAAGACTCAAGTCAGTGAACAAGTTCTTTTTAATTTCAAGATAAATCTGATGAGTGGATTATATCATCGACCTTACTACATCAATTGCTTCAAAAAATGAAGTTTCGTGGCAAAATTATCGAAATTGGCTGTATTCGACAATTTACACGTAAGTTAAAAGCAAAAGCGACGTGGAAACGAATCAAACGATAGGAGTGTTTCAAACTGTTGATTTAAGCTCTGGAGCTTGAGCTGGTCCTACTTGAACAAGCTATGGTGAACTCAGTGAAGGAGTCAGAAAGACTAGATAACTTTCCCAGCTCTTCTATTATATTTCTCATTTCCATGTATGATGCAGTAGATGTAATCATGTATACTAGCTAGGCAGTAGGCTAGCAATTATCTGGCATTTCATTATTTATGCATAAAATTTCAAACCAGAATAGTGAAATCCTTTATACCTAATTAAATCATTTTACTTTTTTACAGTTTGTTGTAGGGTATTAGTATTATCAATCACTTTCCTTCATTAAATTCAATGACACTTATTTGTTTGTGGTAAACAAGACATTTTTTAGACTAAATTAATTTTTAATTTTCAAATCTAGGTAGGCCTACCTACCTACTAGTGCTACTACCTAGTAACTACAGTAGTTTAAAAAAAAATAGTAGGTAGCCTATTCACTAACTGACTATCAATGTATGACTAGGTATGAGTATTGAGTAGACCGTAGGGCTATGACTATGATTCTATGAGACTATGAATCTATGATGATGTTTTGTTCTGCAACTGCCTAAGTGTTGATTGGGCTATTGCAAAATGATCAGTTCATTGACAGTCTGTGACAATGACAGATTTATTTTATACATATGGCAATGGCAGGACCAGGACCTGCAGGAGTGCAAAATTTGTATTTGATAATTTGATTGCATAATTATAATTTAATACATTAATGGCAGGTGCAAATTTTTTAAAGTTTTTATAATTTGGTTGGCAAATGACAATTGTGAATTGACATTCATGCCTGACAAAGGGTCAGATCAGATTGTTTGTTTTTAACCACCATTCTATTATCTAACCCTTTTTAAACAAACAACCATTAATATATTTATAATTCATCAATTGCATCAATATTGAAGTTTTTTTCCTTTCATAGGCTAGCTTAAAATTTTTGGGTAAAATATAAATTGTTTAAATATATAAATATGGTGAAAGAAATAATTTTTTATAATTGATCCATCCTATACAGGCTATAGAAGCCTAAGAAGGAAATTCATGTCTCTAGACAATTCTTGTCTACTTGTCATGGCATTCCAAATTGAAAACACTCAAAACACATGCAAAAGTAACTACTTTCAATGACTGCCAATTTAGTGAATAGTGACAAACAGTAAATTTGTGGGACAAGACATGAATATGTCATCACATGGCAAAGTTCCTATTTATGAAAAGAAAGAAAAAATTTATTTAGAAGCAATTCAAGGATTCAGTACAATACATCATCTTTTTGTTTAGACATATATATTGGCTGAAAGCCTGGAGGCTGAACAAGGCATGGTTAAAACTTGAAAGCACTTTTTTCTATTGAAATTATGTAGATTATTGATAAGTTTCAAATTTCTTTATTTTTCTTTGAAGTATTTGAACAAATACTTCAATTTTTGTATTTGAACAAATATTATATATTATACAAATAAATTGAATACCAAACAAAAAAATTCAAGGCCATATTATTGTTTACTGTTTTATGCAATCAATAATAGCACAGAATCATGCTAAAATATTTAATGTTGACTTGACAATCCATGCACAAAAAATATATATATAGGTACCTTTGCAGCAGTTAAGTATTACATATATTCTAATTTGAATGTATTTAGGACATAATAAACATCTCAACATTGGACAATGAAACTCAAAAAGAGCTACCTACCATTTGACAACAGCTCAATAAAGAACAAACATTGAAATTTGAAACATAATTCACCAATATCTTACAGAGCTACAGGATTTCAGATTTAACCAGATACCTCACTTTTGAGCCATATGATTACAAATTTAACCAAATACCAAGGACTACTACACACAGGACATGCATAGCCTATGTCCAGCCTCTGCTAGCAGAGGCGATCGCCTACACTATGAAAATGCTGTTGTTTTAGTGGTCTAAAACAACAGCATTTTCATAGTGTAGGCGATCGCCTCTGCTAGCAGAGGCTGGACATAGGCTATGCATGTCCTGTGTGTAGTAGTCCTTGTTGATTGCATAAAACAGTAAACAATAATATGGCCTTGAATTTTTTTGTTTGGTATTCAATTTATTTGTATAATATATAATATTTGTTTTGATGTGCAGAGCTCATCACTGATGTCTCAAGACTGGCCAAGTCTTGCATCCTGAGGCTGAACAGCAACCACGTCTGCCTTGTTGTGAGTGATGGCGGTGCTCTAGGAGGCACTCCTGGGCTCTGGGCAGAACTGGAACAGCAACATTATTTCTCTGAATATTCTATGGAAGGAGTTTCTGAAGAGAACCAAATATTCCTTGAGTTGCAGACAGGTAACCATTGCAGCAATAAATTTCAAAGCTTGCTACTTGCATGCATATACAATGTTGTCAGTTAGTTTTTGCTACTATTGTACATTAATATATACATGTTATCTGGTAAGAGCTAGCATATTGAATAGAACTCAGCAGCATTCTTTAATTGAAGAAGCTGGAAGGATATTAGTCAGGATGAATTAGGTTTTTGATGTTTGCTTGTCACAGGAACATGTAGGATGAGTCTCCATAATTTAAATTTAATTTAAAATTTGTCAACAATGGGTCTCATTTAAAAAAAAATCTGAATTGAGCAAAAATTCAGGCTGTGATCTGCTGAAATTTGTCCCCCAGTGTTAGAGATTAAGTAATATTGCTTATGACTCAGGCTTGAAACTTATCACTTAGTTGCACCACTAGGTTAGGTTAGGCGCTACCGAATGTCACTAACAACTGTTCAAAATCAGTTTTACTTGATTTGATTATTTATAAATTTTCGTTTCATTTACATAGAATTGTTTTTTTTTTCAAATGTAGTTCTGCATTATTTCTATCATTTGATTTGTGAGGTTATTACTAACTTATTTAGCAAAGCTATTAAAATGTACCTTTTGCTGCAGATAAACTGGCCAAGACACTAAGCTCCCTGCGGTCATCCCAGTCTACTCGAAGCCTTAAGATAAAACTGACAAAGAAATTGTCTCCCTGTCTCACATTTGAGATAGAACTTGTGAGTGCTACGTATCGTTATTTGTTCAAAGAACCACCATGTTTTCATTTGTTCACTTGTCAATAAAGTTTCTCAGTTTCTTTTGACAAATTCGCAAATAAGGCATTTGCTATTATAAAGTTCTTTGAGTGTTTCAGTTGAACTCCTAAAATGTGCTGATAGAGAGAACTCATAATTTAAAACATCGTCTATAGAAACTCAATGGATTTTTGTGTAATTTTTTTGTCATCAATGTATGCCCTACTAATGCATTCAATCATTGATCTGATATGCCTCAACAAATATCTGAATAACATTAATATTCATGATCAGCCATCTGCGTCTGGGAGGTCACGCTTGGTGCTGCATGATGTGCCGGTATCACTGATACCGCGACGTCTGTGGGCAGCCCACCAGGAGCCGCGCATGAGTCACCAGTTCGATGTGTCTATATACCTGCCGCCCATCAAGACACTCAGACACGTCGTGGATCGCATGAAAGTGTGTCACATTCGTGCGAATCTTGCAAATTTTCCCCCAAAAGTTAAAGTTAATAACACATTTATTTGGAGTGGGTGAATGTCTCTGAGCAAGTTTGGTTAGAAGTGATAAAAAAGTGTTCTCTGTTAAAATTGTTACAGTTTGCAATTTAGATATAAAATTGTGTGCTTTTAGAGTCGTTTGCATGACATGACAGAGAGTCGTTTGCTTTAAGAGTCGTTTGCATGACAATGTTCTTTCCAATGCTTTGAATATCCTAACCGCTTCTCAAAAAATTAATCGCAATTATTCGATTTCTGATGGCAGTGCTTCTGTCAAATTTTGAGTCTTAAACCACTCCCTCTCTAAAACTGCGCACAAATCTTTTCCTCGTTGTTCAGAGATGAATAAGAATTTTTAAATTAGTGCAAAATTAAATGAAAGTCTCTGAATTGGCCCGCTTTGTGTACAGACATTCTCGTCCCGTGCGACGTTGTCAGGCAGCAGGAGCGGAACGCTGGTCGTGTCCGTCTCGAACTCCGAGGTCGCCGCATCCACGCACTTCAGGAACCTCACTGTGCCAGCCTGGGGTAATTTCTTCCCGTCTTAGGGTAATTTCTTCCCGTCTTAGGGTAATTTCTTTCTAGACATGCCTAATTTTGGTAACCTTTTCACGATCAGTGACAGCCATTTCTTTTGTAATTGATATTTGTGGGAACTAATCGATCGTGATTTATGTAATGTGGGCACTGGATGTCAGTGAAAAGTTTAAACTGTATCTCGCTATTGGAAGTTTTCTCACATTCAAAATTCCACATTTTCAACCTTGTGCTATAAATTAAAGACAACAATGGAATTTAACAACGCTCGTAATGTCACGGAAGCCTGGATACAGTATTAGGAAGTGCCATGGCTGTGGTCAGTCGCCGTCATTTGAAAATATTTTTTTGGGACCTTAGCTACGTTATTTTACCGCAGAAGATGGTTTTTACATTCGGGGATAGTGTTGTTGATTGTTTCAGCCAGATTGATTTAAATTTTTTACAGGAAGTTAAAGGGTAAAATAATTCTAGGATGATTGATTCACTGATCTGTTTCAATTTAATTTTTTATTATTTAAACTTTATTTCAGGACGAAACTAGAGTAGATGTAAAGCTTGTCTGTAAACTATAGAATTGAGTGATTTTTCTTGCTTTGCCGACGCAGTTTACTTCAAGTATCTGCAATCAAGTTTTAATTTATTTATTGGTAACCGAGAAACAACATTTTAAGTATTCACATTTTCTGCAGTAAAAAAAAGACGAAAGCTGCAGGATTAATATTAATAAAGTACTGTATAATTTCTTCTTGCGCTAGTTTATTGACGACTTGGTTTGATTGTTGTCGACCACACATGCAGATGCTGACCGGAATGATGACCCTGAGACCGCTTACGGCACATCCGTTGACATCAAGAAGCTGTCATCCTTCCTGCAGGGTGACCACAACACCGCCAAAGTTATTTGCAGTAAGTAACCAATCATGTATTCCTTCGTAACTTCATTTTTTCGCGCTATCTCTATAGCATGGTGCGCAGCAAATTTTCTATGATTTCATTTTCCAGAAACACCCTGACTCGGTGTTTCTTTTAAATCTTTTTTGAGTGTTACGTGTTGTCAAGATCGATAAATAATGACTCGGCTGATGTTTGCTGAGTAAATTAGAATGCAATATATGTAAAACTCTACAATGCTTGTCTTGCAATTTGATTTCGTTGATCTTGGTGCTGATGTTCTAGTAATGGTGGCAACCGTGTTGCGATGTGCAGACATTGTGTCGGGACGGCTGGTGCATCTGTTCCTCATGCAGGAGGGCATCACGCTGCAGTACTTCCTACCCGCCGTCTCTGCACCTTGACTGTCATCTGCCCCGTTATGTGTGCCCGAGTCCTAATATTAAAGTTAGGGCCCCATGACACTACAAAAATTAGGTTCAAGAACAAAACACGTAAACTTCTTGCGACTACACATTTTGAATAAAATTGCCTCTGACAGCCCGAGCGGGAGTTTACTCGATGAAATTTGCTTTATGGAACGTTTAGCTCACTTTAGTTATCCAAATATGATTCATGCTTGTTGACTTAAGCATCTGGAAGCATCTGACTTCGAGTTGCGATGGTATTTTGTACCCTCGAGTCGGCATGACCACCGCATGCCGAGTCTTGCCCACGATTGTCCACTTATTGATTTCTTCCTTCTCTGTAAAATTTTTTCTTGCCTTTTTTCGTCCTTGTTTATTTTACTGTAAAATTTTCGATGTTTATTTATGGATATTATCTTCATAGAATATGCTAAAAATGGATTGTTAACGAGATTATATGTAATTTCTTATGGCTTAGCAAAAGAGTATTTTTTAAAGAAATGTTTTTAATCCTTTTACTTGATATAAGAAACATTAGTTTAGGTTGTGCAATTTCGGGATGTATCATGCACAATATTCTATCAATCGCTGATGCTATTTATATCTGTTAAGTTTTATAAAGTCGTTGGAATAAGGGAATTGAAAGTCGATAAGTACTTAGCAGTCTATTATGGCCAACTGTAAGACATTAGATGCACTCATATGCGAGATTCTGAAGGCAGCCAAACAGCGTGTACGTTTCTAGCAGTTCTCAGTCAACATGCTAATTCTTTGATAAAATCCTTGGCGACATTACTCAGCAATGCCGTTATCTATAACTGATCCCTTGTACAAGGCCTGTTCGTTTGTATTTTGTGGTGTGCTTAGAAAATATCTATTTTACCAATTCTTGCAGTAATGCACCAGTTATTCTTGTAAAGCAAGCGTTAACTTAAATTCACATTCATGGATTTCAATGATATTTTTGCCAAGATCTAGAGCTACAGAGAGCACATTTTACAACAAGCGAAACAATTTAACTTCGCAAACGAGCTGCGCATTGACATTAGTTATGAGTCGCGGCAAAGGACTTTCACGTAAGTGTACTGACTTTCATACAAGTACTCTAAGCACAAAGCCTTATTGAATCGCCTTGTACCATATAGCACACATAATATAAATATATTTAGCAACGTTAGTAAAATTATTAAAATATATAGTACATCTTTTCGCGCGCAATTGAAAGGAACCATCTTGGGGTTTCGGTCGTCCGACTGGCTGCGTCTTATTTTTTTCCTTATTCACTAAGGTTAAACACAATATTAAGATTGAGAGCAATCCAACAAAGCCTGGTTCACGCAGAGATTTGTAGTTGAATTTGGTGGCGGCTTACAGTGAGCGTTCAATTAAGAAGACATTCGTGTTCACGTCAACACATCTCAAGTCGTCCACGAAACCTGTCGAATTTTAGTTTTTCCCAACAGTAATGACAAAAATATGTATTAATTTTTAGAAACGTTAAAGGAAGTAAATACTTGAATCGATTTTCTGAGTGAACCCTGCCTATTATTCTTAGTTTCTCTAGAGTTAGTGACATGACTTCCATAAGAAGCTTTGCAACGTTTAAAAAAAACTACAGAACATCAAAGCAAGCAAAAATTAAACAACCCGACGTAAAACTTAGCTCTTCTCTTAGGAAGGCTGAGACACGGTAAGTCATATGGAGCACGAACCACGCACAGGTTATAGCGTGGTCAGTGCGTGTATTCGTGATGCATCTTTCCAGGATGCCTGACATGATTAATTACTCAGTACTGTAATTTGCGTAATATTGTAAGCGTTCATCAACTTGGCATTGTGTTAATAGCGCATATGTTGCACTCAATTAAGAACAAACGCTCTGAACTATACGATTTTGATTGAAGTTCTACTACAAGCTAGGCACGCAGAACAAAGTCGATGTTTATAATTTAGGGAAGTAGTCGAGATTGAGACGACGGTAATTTCGACCGCTCAGCGTGTTCTTTGCTGGTAACTGCACGGTCAGTTCTGTACTGAGTCCTGCCTTGTTGAGTCTGCACAACCCGCACGACGTTTTGCTGGACTCGAGATCCCTGGGGCCCCTGGTATTGCTCTGAGCTTTGATGGTAGCGATGCTCCTGCGTGTAGTAGCGTCGCCCTGATTGCGGTGACGCGTCTGGTGAGGTGGCCACGTCACTGAAGTGAGGCGCCTCCTCCATGTACTCCGACACGGACCGCTCTGCCTGCCGGTGTCGGCCGCTGGCGCCGGACGACTCCGAGTATCGGTCTGACGGCTCCTGCGATCACGTCAAATAATTAGCATATTTTAATTAGCATATTTGAATTATATTAGTTCATGGAAAAATATAAAAAACGTATAAGTTTGCCACAGGAAAAGTTCGGGATGTTACACGTTTGTGATAGTGGCTGTCCAGCTGAGCGCAATGAAAGAATTAGGCGACAATGCGGGTTTTAAACATTAGCTTCAAAAACGAACATTTTCGGTAAAAAAAAATAAACGGAATAATGAAAATAGGTCGCATATTTGTAACTTGAATAAAAAAAAAAGTTTTCCTAGAAATCAAATATTGCATGCAGAATAGAACCCGAGCAATGTTGATATGTTACTAAGTCAAGTAAACCGAAAGTAAAACTAAACGGACATCTCGAAAAGTAGGCAAGACAAACAGACCTCGTGGTGGCGCCAGTCTTCAGTGAATTCCGATGTAGATCTTGCCAAGGAGCGCGCTGTTTTAGCGGACAGCCTGTCGTCATAATCGGTGTCCGGATAATCTCTGTCCCCGGGCATGAGGCCGGGGGCGTAGGTGATCTCGCTGTGAGATCGGTCTGCTGTAGACCGAGCCCCGCTCGGACCACTGGCTTCGCTCGACGTCTCGGCCCGCGCAAAATTCACTTCAGTCTCAGTGATCGATCGCACGTCGGCGCCGGAAACAAGGCTTGACCTGCCGAGCACCCAGACAAATGATTTGGTTTTCAGATTTTTATACATTCAACACAGCAAGTGTGAAGCTCCTCCACCTAATTTATGGCAGTCTCAGTCAGATTGTCAACATTGTTAGCCGAAGTACGGTAGATGTTTATGAAGGTTAATTGTCCATTTAACGGCTCAAACTTTCAGATATTCAAATAAATACGAATATCAGTCACTTCAAAACACAGAACATGCACATTGAAAAAAAGTTCAATTGGAACAAAGTAGTTCAAGTTCACATCGAAGTTCAATGCAAATAAATTAGTCTAATTAAGTGATTATTTGATACATAAATGAGCCATTTAACCCATTCATTTTATTGCTATTCGCACCAAAATTCTATGTTAGCACGGAGGGACAGAGTTCAGAATGTAAAGAAGTCCAATTGAACAATAGTGACGGTAAAGATTTTAGTGACAGGAGCTCGCCACTCACTTGGATGATCGCCGGGAGCGGCTGGGGGCTGGTCTAGTGTGGCTGTCGGGTGAGTACTCGTGCACCGGAGGTAGCGAGGTCTTCTTGATGGCACCTGCGAGGTCGTGTTTGCGGTACCTGCGGGTGTTTTGATATTACTCATTTGAATTCTTATATTACACCTAAACAATATATTCACTCGTTTAATTTCAAACGCTAGTTGCAACTGTGGTTGCCCAGGTGTTATCATGTCATAACTTATATCGTCAGCTCCGTCTCAAGATAGTTGACTACGGATTGATTCTTGAGTAATCAAAATTACAGCAAAAACTTTCATAGTATATAATTTATTTTCTATAACATACTTTCACAGTTGCTAGAGTAAGAATGAAATTACACGACTTACTTTCTGCCGTCCCTGGAAGGGAGACTCTCAGTGTCAGAGGCAGAGGGCGCTTCAGATGAGGTGTCGCCTCGCGGCCCCACGTGCATAGGAGGCGTCAGGATGCGGATGATCACGTCCCACTTCTGGGGCTCGAACAGCTTTTCATATCTGGACAACAAAAATTTCATATCTGAATTTTACTCCATAATGATCACGCAAGCAAATCCATTTAAATTAACAAAAATCAGACTTTTCACTGCCAAGAGCACATTTTTGGAATGTTAGGCAAACGATCCCTTATTATCTAAAATTCATTTCCTGCCAGCTTCGTTGTTGCATATCACAAGAGTTACCCACACTCCTTACCTCTGATCATATCGAATTCGCTCATAATCCTCCCTGACTGTGGCTCGTGTAAGCATAGTTCTGAGGGTAGACTCGGTGTGCAGGATCTGGTACCATTTGTCCCTGTCTTCGTCGGTGAGGACGCATCGCTCTGCCGTCTGTGTCTCCGGGGGCTGCAGCACACGCAGAAGAACGTTCCAGTTAGGAGGAGGTGGATGTTCCAGCATCTCTGGTCTCTCCGTGTCACTATCAGCGCCCTGGTATAGCTGCCGGCGGAACACGTCGGAGCCAGGCTCGCTGTAAGCTTCCCATTCAGGGCCCGACGACTCCATTTCGTCGGCGTATTTCGGGGCTTGGTAATGACGGATGGCAACGTTCCACTTGGGTGGCTTAGGACGTACGTGGTACTGAAAAATGAACGTGAATATAGCATCGACTCTAGTAAATTGGAGTGAAAAACGTAAATTAGGGAGAAAATATATTTCACCAGCAGCCACGATTCTAAACAAAAATAAGTGGAATAACTTCTTCAGGAGCAAAACTGTCAAATAACAGATTTAAAGTAAAAATTAACTCACCTGTTTGACATATCGCTTATGCCGTTCCACATCCTCAACGACGTGCGTTTCAGTTATAGTGGACAAGTGTCTGTCGTCCACCGTATGCATCGTACGGACAGGCTGGCGAGGCATCACGGCTGTCGCTTCGACCACGTCGGTGACGCTACGAACTTCGGAGGCATAGTCTAACTCTGGTTCAGAGATCGGTCTAGGGGCGTGTAGACGTCTGGCGGTGCGTTGTTCCATTTCCACTACATCAGTGGTCTCCTTGACGATCGTTTCAACATTTTCGATGCGTTGAATGTTGTAATCGGACGGAGGAGGTGGTGGAGGCTGAGGGATGTGTTGACTTCTCTTTGACACTTGAGAGTACTTGACAGGAGGATGCAGCAATGCCGGTGGTTCGAGATCGCCAGCTTCTGAAAGCATAAGCGCGTGCTCTGATCCAGGCAAGCTTTCGGCTCGGAAGCTCTCATCTCGTTCAAAGATTGTCGTGAGGCTCTGAGAATTGGCCAACTGTATTGGGTAGTCGGGCTCAGGAGTCTTAGGAGGTGTAGCTGGACGTTTCACCCTCACCATGAACGTCGGCTGCGGAGGCCTAACCATTTGATGAGCAGCAACCATTTCGGCATCACTCTGTATCATGCCATCAGAGTAGACAGACGACAGGCGGTCTTCAATTTCAAATGCCGTGTTTTCAAAGGCTTGGATTTCTTCGCGCACGCTGACGCGCTCCAAGGAATGAACATCACCTTCTTCTACTTCTGAGCCACTGGATGGAGACTCTGAAGGATAATCGGAAGGTAGCGTTTCCGACTGAGACACAAGGGCTGTGTCGGAACCTGACGTGGAAGTAACGGTCGCTCGAGGAATTTTGAGGCCTTCTATTAATATAGATCCAGACATTTTTGATAATGTAGATGGAGGCCCCAAAGACAAAGGACGTCGCCTGACAAGACGGATATTCCTCTTCTTGAGGCACGTGTAGGAACAAGCCATACCCACAAGGAGCAGCGCCAGGAACAAGATACCACAGATGATGAGGAGAATCTCAATTTCTCCCACATGTTTAGGGGCCGGCGATATGGTAGCTTCCGGAAGTCTAAAAAGTGGAAAAGACAATAAAAATTCAAAAAGTTCGGGTGTAAAATTGAAAGCGATAAAGAGGAATGTCATTCCAACTCCGTCACTAACAAATGTAAAATTTTCAAATTTCTAATCTGGCGTAAACACGAGTTCTTACTAAATGCAACTTTTGGCTACCTTCCAGGTGCAGCAGTCGACATTATCGAGTTGTACACGTCGAAAATGTTATGACAACTATCAACTCACTGCGCACTTTACTCATTGCATGTGAGATCGGAACACACATCACACCACACGAGTGTGATATATAGTTCCTTGTCGGAACAATTACCATGTAATTAAAATAGGAATAATTACAGTCTCGCATGAAAATGTTTCAAAGCGACCATCACAACAGTAACCTGAACTCACATTATGGGAGCTGGAATTGGAGGCAGGAGTACTTCGGGGCTTGGGTAGCGGCAAATGATGGTTTTGACTTCATCACCCTTCAGTTCAAACTCTTTGTGGAACCTCACTATGATATTATTGAGGAACACACGGCGCTCGATCTGCCACAAATATAAAAAAAACATCAGTAAGAAGACGCGATAAAAATAAAAAATGGATTACATGTAAACTTCAAAGGTCTTGAATGGGTTCGCCCCTATGAGAGCTCGAATTGGTAGCATGCATATCTCAAAAATTGAAATAAACTAAATCTGAATAAATTATATGCATTACGTCATAATAATCATGGGTACAGAATTTACCTATTGCTCTTGTCATAATTTAAAAATATAAATCGAAATAATTTGGAAGAAAAGACAACTCAAGTTTTGCACAAATCAAGTTAACGAATTTTGGACAGTCACCAAAGGCGAGGCGTTTCTCACCCTGGTTGTGCCACAGCCCTTCAAGGGAAGCTCCAGATGGTATTTCTTCTCCCCGCTGCCGTGGGTGAAGCAGGCCGACTGCCGGGACCCGTTAGGGTAAATAATGCCGAAGAAAGGGTCCTTGAACTCGATGTCCACGAACATGGAGCCCGCGGCACAGTTCAGGTACGTCGTCGTCTTGTTAGTGTAAATCGCAGGACCGATCTCGTCCAAATTTCGATTTAAGCCGTCCACGCTGCAGAAGGAAATAAATAAATTGTGTTGATGATTGTCATAAATTGTTAAGTAAAACACAGATGATATGGACAAATAAAATCGCAGATAGCATGAATGAGGCACATATCAGATGGTGTGCATATACGAACCTTATCACAGATGGTATGGATGGAACGATAAAGTACATCACAAATGGTAGGTACGTCGTACAAGCCTCTTCACAAAGTGAGTGGATAGAACATACACAGAAGGCGCGAACAAGCCACAACGCAGTTGGCATGAATGGAGTTTATACAGATGGCATGAATGGAGTGTATAGAGATGGCATGAAGGCAGCACATCACAGATGGAATGCATGCGGGAGTCCCGTTGCTAGAGGTTCACGAGGCGGAGAAGCCGAGGGGGGGAACAAGAAAAGCTATCCGGGCCAAGGGTAGCGACTGCCAGCATCTCGAGGGCGGGACTAATGTCAACCAAATGATGAAGTCTGTGATTCTGAGGTCACGCATACCTTTCTTAATGAACTTTCTAGTCCCGTTTTCAACTTGGAGAAACGATGTGGCCTGCAATGTTAATATAGCAATTCTCCATCGAAAGAACATCCATTCCCGCAACTGGGATTGCATACCAAATTCTCTCAGTGAATAAAGTACACGAGTCGTTCTTGAGTCAGTGCTCGTTGAAAGAGATCTTTATTACCGAGAATTCATACATTCATGTAATATAAACTATATTACAGAATAATTTGTTTTCTTTTTTTAGTACTACCTATTGGAGCCTGAATTTTGATAGGGTATGAGCTGGCAAGTGCTGCGCTCACCGCTGCTGGGGAGCTGGCAAGTGCTGCGCTCACAGCTGCTGGGGAGCTGGTAAGTGCTGCGCTCACCGCTGCTGAGGAGCTGCGAAGTGCTGCGCTCACCGCTGCTGGGGAACTGGCAAGTGCTGCGCTCACCGCTGCTGGGGAGCTGTGTGCTGCGCTCACGGCTGCTGAGGAGCTGCGAAGTGCTGCGCTCACCGCTGCTGGGGAGCTGGCAAGTGCTGCGCTCACCGCTGCTGGGGAGCTGCGAAGTGCTGCGCTCATCGCTGCTGGGGAGCTGCCAAGTGCTGCGCTCACCGCTGCTGGGGAGCTGCCAAGTGCTGCGCTCACCGCTGCTGGGGAGCTCTAGGAGTCACACGCTCGTAGGCAAGTGGGAAGAACGGCGACCTGCATATCACGTACACAGGATGCCCCTATCACGCCGCCGCTACTCAAATGGCATGAACCCCCCAGGGGCATGAAGACTACAGGGGGATGAAGGCCCCAAGGGCATAAAGGCTACAAAGGGATGAGGGCCCTAGGGCATGATCGAAGGCCCCAGGGGCATGAAGGGGAATGAACCCCACAGAGGCCTGAAAATAGCTTCATAGAATATTCCAAGGGCATGAAAAGGCATGAACGAAGCCTCTATGAGCATGAAAATGTATGAAGGGTCCTTGGATCATGAATAGGGCATGGAGACCCCAGGATCATGTCTCGTGTCATTTCGAGTGAATGATCAAAGACTCCAGGGGCATGAAGATCATTCCTAAGCTCCATCAAGACGTTAAGTGGTAGACTCCTGACTAATACAAAAAATTTGCGCACGAATAACGCAGATGTAGAAATATTTATATACCGAGAAACGTCTTGGTTCGCTTTGCGGTGTAGATCAAATGTCCTTACAACCTTAAAGACTTATTAAAAAACCGCGGTGCGCATCGATAGTCAACACTAGGACCGTATCAGAATCTTTACTAAACCTAAAAATTGCATTAGTGATTGACTTATTTTCCGAAAATCGATGCCTATAAACTCTAGAACCAAAATGCTTGTACGAACGTAATCTCTTTCGAGACAAAGACATTATTCATCCATCACTGCATCCTAGGGCAATTAAGTTGGTACTTTTTATTTAGTAATGTGCATAGTTTGATCGCAATTCCACTGAAAAACACCTAGAGATATTCTTCTACAGAGTCTCACATTGATCTGAGTTTTGTCAGTCTTTTAAGAAGAGACCAATTGAATCGACTTAGATTGAACTAAAGGAGTTCCGGTACATGCGGTTTATTAATCGCACCGAGGGAGCGTGCATTCAAACGAATAGCGACGAGTGTGTCTTAAAAGAATAGCGACAAGTGAGTCATGAAATAAATTGTGACAAATGGGGTCATGAAACAAATAACGACAAGTGGGTCATCAAACGAATAGCCATGAGTGGGTCATAAAAGAATAGCGACAAGTGGGGCATCAAACGAATAGCGACAAGTGGGTCATGAAACAAATTGTGGCAAGTGGGTCATGAACACAAAGATCTGAATTTCACACCACCAGGAATTGGGTGACCTCAAACAGGCGTGAAATTGAAGTGTTCTTTGGAGCCTCCCAGAGACATGAAGCAGTGGGTAATGTTTCTTTTGAGCGCAAATAAACTCCATCAGAAACTGGACCACCCAACTCAATTATGTGGTGGCGCGGGATCAGCGTGAAAAAATTTAGTGTATGACGAGGTCATCTAAGAGAAAATGACTGCCCATTGAAAGAGCGCTCAAATACAAAGTTTACATGAGAGACTAGCTGAACAAAGCAACACTCGGTTTGTTCAATTGAAAAATTGCACGCACCATACACTATACGACGGTAGTATGTGGCCGATTTCAAAAGATACCTCCATTAAAATAAGGAGAAGATAAATAAAAAAACAACAAATACGAAACGATATGAAATAAGGGAAAATGAGCCAATTTATTGCCAATCAGGAACCATGCGCATACGGCGATCCTAATTCTGAGATGTGAACATAAGACGAAAATCGAGGAAATCATATCAAGAAGCTAATGTCCATTCATATTGCAAAATAAATTATTTATTTAATACATTTATTGGGCTATAACCAAAAAATAATAACTAATTTAACTGATAGTCTTTACAAGACAAGGTAGCCGAGTTGCTAAAGTTCAGAGCACCCGGAATGATGTCGCGAGTTTCGGGTTCGGAACCCAAGCAAGCTGTAAGAATTATGCGATGTCTAGAATCGGGGACACTGACTATAAGGCAAAATCTTAGATTTGGCCCAATCAACGCTGACGCTACTATTACAAGCTGTGTGCTCGTGACCATATTCGAGTCACTGAAGAATTAATAATGAAGCTGATCAGTAAACTGCTGTCCGGAATGTTAGGTAGTTACTTTGCCGTTCCACTAAATCGCTGCTTAGGATATGTCACTTTTGATGATGATGTTTCACTAGCTTTGAAAAAAAAAATTGGAAGCACCAACCAGGGCTTCATTTGCAAAGAAAAAAAAACTTCTTGAGGTTAGAACAGCGAGCACATGTGTTGGTGAACTCGTGGCGTAGCGTAAGGGCGCTCACCAAGATAGCGCCACTCGTCATGCACGCTCACTTTCACTGATGTTGAGGTCACGAGCGCAGCAGCGAGGGCGGCAGCGGTCACCATCAGGAAGTGAATTGTCCATACGAGAACCCTTAGCCTGCATGCACCAACACCTGAGCTATTGCATGCCACGCCCTACAACTCCTCGCCTGCATGCACCAACACCTGGGCTATTGCATGCCACGCACTACAACCCTCGCCTGCATGCACCAACACCAGGGCTATTGCATGCCACGCACTACAACCCCTTGCTTGCATGCACCAACACCTGAGCTATTGCATGCCACGCACTACAACCCCTCGCCTGCATGCACAAACACCCAACGCCTAATATTTCAATGAGGCGCCTCCATTTCCTGAATTATGTACGAGAAGAAACTGTGTCTTTGAGAGGAATTCAATTATTTATTATACTCGTACTTCAATTCTTCAACTCCTGCTATAGAGTGATTCCTGCACTAGCACTGAAAACTCTGGGAGGTGTCGTATAGCGAGTTACTCAACGATTCTAAATTATTCCGTAGATAAACATGGAAGTCATCAAGCAGTTTTAATGAATGAGACTTGCTCATAGTAGTCGCCGATCAACGTCTTATATTAATAATTAGTTGGGATGAAAATTTTGTGCAATAATCATAAAAAGGACCTTAATTTAAAGAAAATTATTATTATTATTAATTAGAATACATGGCGTTTGACTCACTGAGCGGTTCTCTGCATGACATCCTGCTCCTCCTCGCCGATGTACTGCCCCTGCACGGCCGCGAGCAGCAGCAGCACCGCTGCCCCCTGCAGCAGCAGTGCTCTAGTCATCTGCACGTGCAAGAAGAAAGAATTTGAAAGAAAAACACAATAAAATATCTTTGCACAATTAAAGTAAAATAAAAAGTAAAAATTCACAACTGAATAAATACTGCAATTGCGTCAGACGAATTCCGTTTTATGGCCATGTTGAATTTAAAAATTAACGGTAATTAAATTTCCATTCTAAAGCATAAATGCTCCCATGAAGATCAAGAATATGAAAATAATTACTTCTCAGCAGAATCCGCATGATATCGTGACATCCATTCAAAAGTACAAGAATTGTTTTGGAAATTGTGTCAACTTGATTCACGAATTGCTTGAGATAAAAAAATAGACCAAATCTCTAACAGAATTAGGCTCACAAAAAGAGATCATGAGACATTGTAGCAGCATCGCGAGTGTCGGCATTGTTGGCCGCTTTTGTACCGGCCAATAATGGCATGAAATGGCATCCGTTAACCCAAAGCATCCGAACCTCCACATGCAGAAAACGAGGTCACGTAGACCTGGTGTTGAACAAACGGCTAATTAGCTGCTGGGCCATTTAGAAGACTCGTGAGAGACACGCCTCTGGCAAGCAGGCCTCTAATTAGAATTAATTAGTAGAAAAAGGTTAGATACGTTTAACCATGACAGCCGATCGTAAATCCTAGATTCATTTTAGAGCAGATTGCCCTCCACTGCATCTGTGTTTCATTTAGCATATCAATGCAGTTATTCTATTACTGTACTTAATTGTGTTTGGTCACATGTCCGAAAAATGTGAAGGTAAAAGTTTCGGGCAGAATGAGCGAGGTTTTTAATTTTAATTCCGTCGCTGGAGATGTAACTGGACAAATAGAAGAAACCCATATATAAAAATTGTAAAAAACATCGACAATTGTGAAAAAATTACATCTAATTTTTATGATAATGCAACTAAAACAAATAAGATACTAGGTAATTCGATACCAAACCCATTACACTCGCACACCGAAAACATAAATTCAGCGAATTATTTTGAGGAAGATATTATAAAAACTTTCGTTACGAGATGGCGCTCAGCTTCCCTCACGACACAACAGCCGCACGCACATCACACGCCGCCACGTCTGCACAAGACATCAATGATGGCCTCAGCGTCGTGGAGCTTCCCACCGCCACCTCCTCTGAACATCTCCTCCCACCACCACCCCCACAACCACCACTCATGACTGTAATAATCTGCAGCGCCACAACCATGACTGTAATAATCTGCAGCGCGCCACAACCACGACTGTGATGCTGTCGCAGAAAGATAAAAAAAAATCAGGCAAGTTCTGAAATGTGAAAATTTTCAAGATAAAAAAAATCAAATTTAATGTTTGGATTCAGGATACCAAGAAGAAGTAATCCGGACTGTGCGGAAAATAGGAAAATTGCAAGAGTTTGGTCGATGCGGCGCCGGAAAGCCATCGTCTCGCAGAGCTTCAGTAACTCGATTGTTTCACTCGAGCGGCCATGAATGGCTCTGTAACGGGACCCCGAGACGGAGATGTCAGGCCTCTGAACCACAAGCCTCTTCGTCATCGCGCCATCTCATCGTCATACTCAGACGGTTCTCATAACAAGAATGTTGGAACCAAACAACGGGTCATACGCACATCGGCTGCGAATTTTATACTACACTCTTCGAATGATAACAAGTGTGAAAACACTTACCGTACTCACATTGATGTGGCAACGGAAAATGACATAAATTAACTTATTAAGAATTTCTCAGATAAATCATTGATATAAATTGCACTTCCAAAAAGGACGGATAAGTTGACAAAAAAAGAAGATGTTACATGTATTATATAAACCCCTAAGAACAAAAATTGACGCAACACCTGATCGATTAAATTCTGAGATCCACTTTCATATGCCTCGTAATTACATGCGGAATGATCGAATACGTGGTACCTGAAGATCTGTCGTCCACGCGAATATTTCGCCACCTTATGCCACTTAGACGTGAACATGAGTGTTCGTCTCAAGACAGTTTCTCATTGCCGTAGTGTCAATTAGAATTTACTGTGATCGCCGATACCATCGAGTGAAGTCCTATCATAGAATACTGTAAGCTCATTTTTAATGTGCATTAAAAACAACGTCTATCATCTCACACAAGACTATCATAAACAGATTAAAAAACACATATGATCAGCGAAGAAAATAATAACTCTGACGCCTTACAAAGTGCCAAGAATGGTGTCAGCGTAGGGTGTGGGAGTCGCCCACACGCAGCAGCAAGAAGTGCCATTAAAAGACCGAGGTGTCGAGTGTCACGCTGCAAAGGTGAAGGCCGCCGTGCAGCAACTTCAACTTCCCTTCTAAGCGGCCCTGTCACGCTGGAGTTTCGCGTGTTCATTCCCCGAACACAACATCAAAAAATATGTATTATAAGAATTTTTTTTACAAATATCTCACTTCGGCTTTAAAGAATATTGTTACAAACCTTCAAGACGAAATCTACTAAGTGATTTGGCATACTATTAATTAAACTCATCAGATTGTTCATGAAAACGGTGCCAGGTTTCACCTTACAGCTTTTTGGCGCATTTTCTCATTTATGGAAAAATGCACTATTGTTCTTGCCATGTCCGTCCTTCCGTCTGTCTGTCCGTCCGTCTGTCCGTGACCTCAAGTTTTCGTCGACGAGAAAATGCGCTCTGTCACTCACTGCAGTGAGTACTGAGTTAAATTTTTTTAATTTAATGCTTCCAGCAAATTCTCTCAGCTTAAATTATGGTCAGCTCAGCTTAAATTATCAGAAATTAGAGCAACACATCACGACGATAAAAATTTAATATTCCATCACGAATAATAGCTATCAGTGGATAAAACTTTCATTTAATGAGAGACACCCTATTTTTCAGGTAAACCAAGCATGCGATCACCAAATCCGAACAACTTTTCATTGTCATGCGTTTTCAGGTGCACTCTTCTCGATTTCAGGGATTTCCAAAAATTAGTTGGGAACATTGCAGCCACTGAAACAATGTGGGATTGCAAGACAGTCATACAAAATAAAGATAACCAATTCAACTTTTTGTAGGGGAATTCTTGCATTATCATTGACGGTTGGCAAGCGTTGTTGCAACACGACACGTTGTCTCCAGGAACGGACCTTGCAAGCATCGGGGGGCTAGTGTCGTATTCAGGCCCACACCACGACTAACTTCTTCGGTACACGCGGTTTCCATCATCCTATCTTCACTGGCTCTTGAATAATGAAAGAACTAATCAGTGCTACTACTAGGGGGCCAATAAAGGTTGCCTTTGAGATTTGTATTCATGATTGTAGTCTCGAATAATGATATATTTCAAGTAAATAAGTAATCGAGTAAATAAGTAAAAGTTTTCTGTTTTGTGTGTTTGAAGCCTGGCGCTGTAAACATGGAGATTTTTCGAGCTCGTATACTTAGTACCTAGGTACCTATTTGAACAAACCTATATATCGTGTCGGGATATTACCTGGATTTGAAATTGTATAAATTTCATCCATAGAAATGCGAACATTACAATGGAAAGGCATTGGAATAAAATTATCCAGTTTTTTATTTAATTCAGTTTGATTACCGAAAAGTATCATTAAAACATCGAAACGTGACTAATTTAAATTTTATGTTAAATGTGGGTTAGAATGGGTCCCTTGTGAACATTCTCATTAAACGCTTCATTAGTTCGAGAATTAAAACGGAATTCCGGAGAATGCGATTCGATAAAACGAGATTCAGGATTTTGGGATTCTTTAATCTTACGCGTTGTTATTTGTGGACAAACCCATAATAAGCTGCTAGTGATTTTATGCGCGAAAAATAATTTTATTATCGTACCATCCCAACTTTGAAAATACCGCGAAAATGTGCCCTGGTAAACTGAAGGTCGATCTTGAATTAGTTGGATTTACGAAAGCCATTCTGAACGCTGCATCAGTTTCAAGGGAAAATCACGCAACGGAATATCAGTAATCACATAATATAAGCAATACCAAGCATGAACTGCAATAGAAGATACGAGCAGAAACCTGTTGGTAAATTTATTGATGATGCATTTCATGACTCAGGTCTTAAAAAACTTCCTTCTTATTCCTGCATGAATTGGCTTCATCTCGAGCGCCTGCGAGAGGCAAGGCCCTCGAGAACACGACTGCCTCTTAATGTATATAATGATACCCAAATGTAAGAATTAACATCACTTGATTGCTTAAATAGCAAGTTTATCAAAAATTTAAAGCAAAGAAAACATAAAAAAATTCACAATTTATTTCTTATGCGAGAAAACGTCCAGCTCCATCGTCAGTTCAGAAATAACAGCTCAGAAATAACATCGTTAGTTCAGAAACCTTCAGAAACCTTAAGTACAAACAATTTGCAAACTAAAATTTACATTGAAGATATCAAAACATAAATGGTCAAATTAAAACAAATAAGAATGAGGTAAACATGAGCAGAAAACCCTAACGCATTTAGACTATAGGCTTTTGTTTAAAAATATACAGGGACTCTAAAATTCGCAGAATTTTAGAGATCAGGGCCTATACTTTCAAAAAATGTTAAGAGATCGTAAGTTCATCCGCCAATCATTGACGGGCTTTCAAGCCAAATCCACCAATCATATAGACAAGAAAATAGAGCGTAAGTTCTTACGTTCACTTAGCGAGTTTTGAAAGTATGGCCCCGACCTGCGCGGACACAACCGACCTGCGCAGGTCGGAACCTGATGAAAATAACAGATAAGAATATTAATTCAAGGCTTTCAGAAATCAATAGTTACTGATGTAAATTTCGACATGTTGTCCTTTGAGCGAATTAAAAGAAATTTGTTCCCAACAATTGACTCCCTTCACGTGTTAGAAAATGTTCATAGGTGTAATTGATTGCGTTAAACATTTCACCGCTGCAAATACAAAAATAACTTGTCATTTTAGTTGTTCTATATTCACAAAAAGTGAAATACACTGTATAAAAAAATAGAACTCAGTACTCACTGCAGTGAGTGAC